TGCTGGAGCTGCTGGGGGTACTGGAGCTGCTGGAGGTGCTGGAGGTGCTGGTGCTAGTGGCACTGCACAGCCGCGCCTGTTCTTCGCTCCGCCGTCTCCGTCGTCTCAGTCACCGCCTGACTCTGTGTTTCGCCAGGTTCTTAGTCTCCCTTCGTCTACTGGTCTTCCGTTACAGCCTGGCTCACCGCTGCCTGCTCCTTCTCCTTACACTGAGCAGACAGGTGGTCTTGCTGAGCGTCGTGAGCCTGCGTCGCGTCCTGTCTCGCCTGTACGTTCTGGCCGTTCCGGTCGTCGTGTTCCTCATCCGCGTCAGCCGGCTGTCCCCGCCACCCACCTTGTAGTCCACCGTCCTTCCTCTCCTCCGCAGCGTTTTCCTCTGCCGTCTCCCCCTGCGTCCTCTCTGCTAGACGTTGCGGACCCTGAGTCTGACCAGTTTCGTACTGAGCACCCTACTGTCACGCGTCTGTTAGCCAGTATTGTCACTGACCCGTCGTTTGAGTCCACTGCTGCGTCTGCCCTAGTCGCTGAGCTTGTCGACTTTGCTGCTGCCTGTCGTCTAGACTACGCTGCTAGTCTTGTTGCTGAGTCTGAGTCTGTCTGTCCTCCGTCCGTCGGGGGCGAGTGTGCTCTTAGCACGGACGTCCTTCAGGACATGCACGAGGACCTTGAGTGTCTTGCGGCCGCTGCGCCTCATCTCGTGGCCATGCTGCTTGCCCCTGAGGGAGACCCGGATGCTCCAGACATCCCGACCCCGCGCTCTTACGCTGGGGCGATCGCGGGTGAGTACTCTTCTCAGTGATAGACAGCCATGGACGCAGAGATGGCATCCTGGAAGTCCACAGGCACGTACGTCGATGAGGTTCCCCCTCCCGGGGCGAACATCGTCGACGGCATGTGGATTTTCAGGGTGAAGCGGCCGCCAGGTTCTCCGCCTGTCTTCAAGGCTCGTTACGTTGCTCGAGGCTTCAGTCAGCGAGAGGGAGTTGACTTCTTCCAGACCTTCTCCCCAACCCCGAAGATGACCACTCTTTGGGTGCTGCTGCACGTTGCCGCTCAGCGTGACTACGAGCTTCACTCTCTTGACTTCAGCACAACTTTCTTACAGGGCAGCCTGCACGAGGAGATCTCGCTGCGCCGCCCGCCTGGCTTCACTGGGTCGTTCCCTCCTGGTACCTAGTGGAGCCTTCGGCGGCCGGTCTACGGTCTGCGCCAGGCGCCACGTGAGTGGCACGACACACTGAGGACGACACTTGCGGCTCTTGGGTTTGCTCCGTCGACTGCTGACCCGTCGCTGTTTCTGCGCACCGACACTTCACTGCTGTCGTTCTACATCCTCGTGTACGTCGACGACTTGGTCTTTGCCACTGCTGACACTGAGGCTCTCGCCCTGGTAAAGTCGGAGCAGCAGAAGAGACACACGTGCACAGACCTGGATGAGTTCCGCAGATACCTTGGCTTGCAGATCATCCGGGACAGAGCACGCCGCACCATCACACTGACTCAGTCACACATGGTGCAGCAGGTCCTTCAGCGCTTCGGATTCACCTGGTCCTCGGCACAGGCCACTCCTCTGGCTACAGGTCACTCGCTCTCAGCTCCACCTTCGGACGAGTCCGTAGAGCCGAGTGGTCCTTACCCAGAGCTAGTTGGCTGCCTCATGTACCTGATGACCTGCACTCGTCCTGACCTCGCGTACCCTCTTGGCCTTCTGGCTCGCTACGTGGCTCCTGGTCGGCACCGAAAGGTGCACATGGATGCTACTAAGAAGGTACTGCGCTACTTGTGCAGTACATCGGGCATGGGGCTCGTGCTTGGAGGACGGGGCGACGTTGTCCTCACTGGTCACTCGGACGCTTCTTGGGTTGACGACCAGGCTACGCAGCGGTCGTCACAGGGTTACACCTTCAGCCTTGGCTCTGGCTCTGTTTCTTGGTGGTCTACGCGCTCGTCTTTTGTTCTTGGCTCCAGTTGTGAGGCTGAGATCTACGCCACAGCCATGGCTGCACAGGAGTTACGCTGGCTCACCTGCCTGCTGACCGACTTGGGAGAGAGGCCTCGTTCTCCTCCAGTTCTGTACGTCGACAACAAGGCAGCCATTGCCTTGTGTGAGGAGCACAGACTGGAGCACAGAACGAAGCACATCGCTCTGCGTTACTTCCTGGCTCGAGAGTTGCAGCAGCGGGGTCAGCTTCGTCTTGCTCACGTGGCCACTCGGGCCAACACTACTGATATATTCACCAAGGCACTTCCGTCTGGTGATCATGAGCGCTTTTGTACTTCGTTGAGCCTTGTGCCTACGTTTCCACACTTGCTGTAGACTTTGCTTGTGGTGTGATCCATATATATATATACCTGCATGCTTGCTCTTGCTAGGTAGTGATCACTGTGCTATTGCTGCATATATATCTCTGCATGTGAACTGGCCTTGTGGCCTCTTGCTTGTGCTCAGTGTGTGTGGTGACGTTGTGATCCACCTTGAGCTTGCTTTGCTTTTCTTGACTGGTCTTGTGACCTCTTGCTCTCCCCCACTTTGCCTATGGGGGTGTGTCAAACATATGCATATATTATATTTGTGGGTAGGCTGTAGTGGGGTAGATAATGTGGGGTATAACCCCTTAGGGATTTCTCCTTGTACCAATTCTCTCGGTAGTCCTATCATTCCTGCCTAGTTTCTAAGAGTGTGGTGGTGCCGGAGTATTCACCGTGGATTGCTGACGCGCGGAGTCATGTTCCGCCGTGAGCGTCGCAATTTCGAGCGCCGATTCTTCAACTTGGCGCACGAGACGGTCGAGTTGCTCATGCGTCAGTGTCGCGAGAGTGAATTCAGCCATGGCGGGGGTGTCGGGCAAGCACAGTGAGAGCCTCTGTCGTGGCCGTACGTGCTTACGAGAGAGCACTACGAGCGGCGGTGCTGTGTCACTGAGAGACGTGTACCCCCTCCAAAAAATTGAGATAGTGGGGAAGCGAAGGTGTGGGTGCGGTCCGAGAAGAGATCGTAGGCTCTGAATACCAAGTGTTACGAGTGCAATTGAGTGATCGAACGAGAATTGCACTATCGAAGCAAGAGTACAATGAGCGAAGGCATGAGCCAAGAATATATAGCGAAACTACAGTGGTAACGGTAATGAACTGTGGTTGACGCGCTACGGGCCTGGAACTGAGGTTGGGACTGTGGTTTGGAAATGTCGAGGCGGAGGCCCGGAGCGCGGGTTACCCGCCGAGCCGTGAGGTCCGGGTGCGACGTGCGAAGGTGGCGGGAGGTTTGTCGATGCGAGGGTTACGAGTGGTAACGGTGCTGACTGTGGTGCTACAGTAGTGTACGCACTGAGCAGGGGCGCGAAGTAAGGAAAAGGAATTTTCCTTACAACTAGCTTTAACACAGCTCTTATAGAGCTCAAAACTTTTCATTACAACTGTTGTAGCAGCAGTCCGGGCATGCAACTCTGATGTGTCGGAACCTGTGCTCACACAGCTGTATGGGGGTGGCATTCTGCATGGACGGTCACACAACTCTTCGATTGAGCGGGAAATTCATAACCTGCCCATTGGACGACCATCCCGAGAGGGTCAAACGAAACCGACCATCTCAAGGCCACATGGGTGCCATTCAGCCTGACAAATGGAGGTTATTTATGGGCAGATGAGTTCCCAAGAGGAAGGAAGCTGGTTCTGGCGACTCGGGAAGAGTCAAGAAGATGGAGAGCTTTGGACACGGCAATTCCTTGGCACACAAAGAGGAAGAGAATCCCGAGGTCCCTTTTCCTCTTCACCCTCCCCTTTCTTCCTCTTGGATCATCCCAAATCCAGCATTCGTTCCCACTCTTTCCCCGTCCATGGGAGAAGGGAATCTCCGTGGTCACTGGGTTGCACGTCACGTCGCCTTCCCTGACGTTTCGCACACCATCAGCAGCAGCACCAGGACAGAGTGACGTACATGAAACGGTGACTATATCCGGACGACTGCTTGAATAAAGACCGTTCTCTTGGGTCTCTGGTCTCTGGTTCTTCATCAGGCACTGAATTCAGTCATTACAGTGCTAAAACAATCCAGACTGATTGCGCTTTTGCTGATTAATATCCGATCACATTAGCCTTTCCTGCTCGGCAATTCGCAATTGCAAATTCCCGCCGACATGTTGTTTTCAAGCATCGACGTGGCGGATGCGAACTTAGCGAACCAGTTCACGCAAGGCGAACTACGAAAGCTCAAATCGCAGGTGCTGCTCCAACCATTTCGGTCGTCATTCCCTTCTTACCCTTTCGTCGGTTTACAATGTGTCGCAGATCCGTGCGTATCTCTAGCATCGTCAGTCCTTATTCAAATTATCATTATTAGTGTGTCAGATCTTCCCTACCTACACCAGTGTCATTTCGAGCATTTGTAATTCAGCAATCCCGTGAGCGTGCCAAGGAGTTGGCTTATAATATCACATTAGAATATCAATTCAGCACTTTCCGACCCAATTGTTTCGCACAAAGCCTTCTTAGCCTTCCATCGCTCAACCCTTTTCGCGTCTGTCACTCAGTTCCCGCCAATTCCTCTCCCACTCTTCTTTCCGCTTCCACCCCGTGTATCTTGTCGACTATTTCCAGTTCGATGGCGCGTCTCCTTCGCCCGGAACCCCCCTGACACCGGCCAGCATACGGGCGAATTCCGTCCGCCTGGGTTTCTCGACGCCGCTGAGCGAACCCGATGCTGATCGCGTGATTGCGGAATTCGGCAGCAAGGACAAGGGCGTGCTCACGTTCGAAGGGTACCTTCGCGTGAGTTTACCAAACTCGAATCAATCCTCGAGTCTGATTGTAAATTACCATGTCACGCCATCCGTTTCAGCCCGACGGGTTCAGCCCGACGGGCCTTATGAACCCGCTTTTTTGTTCGGCCTGTTAACAGCTCTCCGTCATTCTGCCGTCCTCCTCCGTTTTTCGTTGTTAACACTCTCGTCATGAGTTCCCCTGCTTCCTCTACTACCCCCGTTACTACGTTATTCCACCACCAGCTCCAAGCGGACATAGACAAGGGCACGTCATACTTCTCCCCGCTCAGCAAGCCCCGAAATTCTGCAGCCAAGGATTTTATGCGCTCGCCAGTCACGTCTACAGTGCACGTTATTAACGAATCCGAGAAACGCGCGTATATCGAGCATATCAATGCGAACATGGCGGAGGATCAGCATGTCGCGGCGCTGCTGCCGATTGCGCCCGAGGGGGGGGACCTGCTGGATAAAGTGCAGTCAGGCGTGTTGCTCTGGTAAGCAACGAGCAGTCAGGTTCGGTTTGTACCGGTGACGTTCCGTTCGGCACTCATGCACGCGCGTGCTAGTCCTCCCCTCCGACTGTTTTGACGCAAAACCTTCCCCCAAGTTCCTTCCTCTCTTTTCTCAGTCTCAACTCCTCTCTGTCGCCAGCGAGCTGGTGAACCTGGCAGCGCTGGGGACGATAGGCGAGCGCGCAATCAACAGCAAGGTGCAGCTTGGAAGTCGATTTAAAACCTCCCTTCGAGTAACCCCCTCTCGTCCCCCTCAACTCCCCTTCCCCCCGCCAGTAAGCTGGTGAATCTCGCAGCGCCGGGCACCATAGACGAACGCGCGATCAACAGCAAGGCGCAGCTGAACGCGTGGCAACGCAGCGAGAACCATACGCTCGCGCTCAACTCCGCGCGCGCGCTGGGGTGCCAGGTGGTGAACATCAGCGGACAGGACATTGCTGAGCGCAGGGTGAGTGGGGGGGGGGAGTGGAGAGGGAAGGGGGAGGCGAGAGAGGCGAGGATGAAGGGAGCAGGGAATATTGTCACTTGTGTCTTCATTAACCCCGCGTGCGCACTGGCATGCCAGGTGGTCAACCGTAGCGGACGGGACATTGCAGAGCGCAGGGTGCGTGCGGGGGGAGAGGGGAGAGGGGCGAGGGGCGAGAAAGAAGGGAAGAGCGTGAGGAAGGAAGAAGGGAGAGAGAGAGAGCAGGGGAAGGCGATCCGAGGTGTCCAGGTGTCAGGTGCTGGTTGGTTGGCATTCTCAAAAAGGATGTGTGACGAGGGTGGATGGGGTGCACGCACAGCAGTATAAGGAGGACAGCTGGCGTGAAACAGGTGGATCTTTGGTGCCACGTCAGCTTGAAGAAGGAAGAAAGAAAACTATCAGCAGTTTTCTTGCCTTGCCCAAATTCCTGTATTTCTTGCTTCTTTTCCCTTTTCTCTTTCCCTTCCTGCTCGCCGGATTCTGGCAGGAACACTTGCTCTTGGGCCTCATCGCACAAATTATCAAGGTATTATGTAATAGAGAGTCATGCACACACAGAGTGACTGCACATAGTAGTAGGAATCTTAGGCAACTCGGAACGCGGTAATGTGCAGTAGAGGCGTGCAACGCAGAGGAGGGACTCTGTGTGTGTGTGTCCGTTTTTTCCCGTGCATGCATGCAACTGCCTCATCATACGCGCTCCCTCACTTACCCCTTCGATCCGCTGTTGTTTTTCCCTGCACAACCTTCCCACCCTGCTCCCTGACACTCCCACCCTTTCTCCTCTTTCCCCCGTTTTTCCCTCTTGCCTCCTTCCCTCCCACATACCTCCCGCGTTGCTCCCTCCCCCACCATCTCTTCCTCTCTCTCGCCCTCTTGCACCGCTGTTTGCACTCTATTGCAGGTGCATCTGCTGTCATTCGTCAGCGTGTCTGCTGCCCCTGAGCTCATCGAGGAATTGGAGAAAGAGGTGAGATACCGCTGCTGCTGCTGCTGCTGCTGCTGCTGCTGCTGCTGCTGCTGCTGCTGCTGCTGCTGCTGCTGCTGCTCTGAGTGTGTGACATGAATGGTGTCACGTTTATTTCTTCGCTATGCCCAATCGATTGAACGCATGCACGAAGCCTGCCCTAAACTCTCTCTTTAACTCCAAGCCGCTTCGTCACCCCAAGCCCGTGACCTTACCGCTGTTTTTCTATTGAGACACATGACCTAACAGTTGCGTCTCCCTTCACCCTCCTCCTCCCAGTCAGGGGAGGACGTGCGACACGAGTCAAGCGAGCAGCTGCTGCTGCGGTGGATGAACATGCACCTCAAAAAGGCCAACTACCACAAGGAAGTCTCCAATTTCAGCCAGGATATCAAAGACGGCGAGGCGTATACCCTCCTGCTGAACCAGCTGTCGCCAGACATGTGTGACTTGTCGCCGATGCAGTACCAGCCGGGGCTGGAGCGGGCGCAGCAGGTGCTGAAGCAGGCGGATAGGATAGGGTGCTGCAAGTATGTGCAGGCTCAGGATATTGTGGATGGGAGCATGAATCTGAATCTGGCGTTTGTTGCCAACCTCTTCCACATGAGGTGCGTGTGGGTGTGTGTGTGTGTGATGGGGAGGTGGGTGGGGGGGAGAGGGGAGAAGTAGGAGGGGGAAGGTTGGTGGGTTCTTGGGTGTGTTGTGAGAGTGTGGATGGGTGTGGGTGTGGGTGTGTGGATGGGTGTGGGTGTGGGTGTAAGTGTGTGCGTAGGTGTGGTGTGTGTGTGGGTGTGAATGCGACTATGTGCAGGCTCAGGATATTGTGGATGGGAGCATGAATCTGAATCTGGCGTTTGTTGCCAACCTCTTCCACATGAGGTGCGTCTGGGTGTGTGTGTGTGTGATGGGGAGGTGGGGGGGAGGGGGGGGGGGGAGGGGGGTGTGGGTGTGTTGGGTGTGGGTGTGTGCGCAAGTGCGTGGGTGTTCGGTGGGTGGGTGCGTGGGTGTGGGTGCGGGTTCTCCCCTGTACCATTCCCACTCCCAAATTCACACTAAAGGCAGATAAGGGAGAGGTCAGTTCTGGATCCCTCCACCCGCTCACTTGCCCCTCACACCATCACCCCCTCCCAAAACGGTGCCCATGCCTCTCCCATGGCCCCCAGGCACACACTCAAGGCACAGGAGGAGGCAAATGCAGCGGACGACAAATCGGGTGTCGAGAACGCAGAAGCAGCTGCTGCAGCAGCAGCAGGTGCGGTGCGGTTGGGAGTGGTGCAGCAGGCGGAGCTGGAGGTGGATCGCAGTCTGGACAGTGACGAGGAGCGCGTGTACCGCTTCTGGATCAACAGCGTGGGCGTGTCCACTCCTGTTTGTGATCTCTTCCGGGACGTGCGCGATGGGTATGCAGAATGCCTTGGGTTGTGGGTGGACGTGCACGAGAGTGGGTGGGTTGGAATGGAAGTGGGGTTATGGAGGAGGGGCGAGTAGGTTCCAGGTTCCTGGGATGAGAGAGTTGGGGTTGTTGGAGGGGAATCGACATTCTTGCAACCTCTTCTTATCTTTCCACTCATCCACACGCCGTGCGTTCCTTCTCTGAAGAATGACAGTTCAACCCACCCTCTCCACCCCCCCCTCCCATCTCCTCCCCCTTCCCATCTCCTCCCCCTTCCCATCTCCTCCCCCCTTCCCATCTCCTCCCGCCTTCCCATCTCCTCCCCCCTTCCCATCTCCTCCCCCCTTCCCATCTCCTCCCCCCTTCCCATCTCCTCCCCCCTTCCCATTTCCTCCCCCCTTCCCATTTCCTCCCCCCTTCCGCCCTCTCCTCCCCCTTTTCCACCCTCTCCCCCCCCCTTGTCCCTCTCTTCCCCTTCTTCTCCTCTCCTCTCCCCTGAGCAGTATTGTTCTTTTGGAGGTTATGGATAAGATTCGCCCAGGGTGTGTGGAGTGGAAAACAGTCGCACGGCCCTCGGGCGGGCAGCAGCACCTGCGGGCAGTCTACAAAAAAATCGAGAACTGCGAGCAGGCGCTGCGGGTCGGGCGGCAGCTGAAGCTGAATCTGGTCGGCACGGGCGGCAACGATATCGTATCGGGGAACCGGAAGCTGATTCTGGGGTTCTTATGGCAGCTGATGCATCTGCACATGGTGTCGCTGCTGCAGCACCTCAGGCACAACCATGAGTTGAGCGATGGGGATATTCTGCAGTGGGCGAATGAGCGGGTGGAGAAGGCAAAGCGGTCCTCACGCATGCAGAGTTTCAAGGTATGCGAGAGCAAGTGTGCGAGTGAAATAGGCAAAACATTCTTGCAGAGCAAGAGTTTGCGTGGAAAAGGCAAAAAATTATTGCAGAGCAAGAGTGCGAGGATGTCATAAATTAACTCCGCCTTCCCCCCCCTCCCCTCCCCCTCTTCTCCTCCCCCCGCCCCCTACCACTCGAGTTTCTACCACATCTAATTTTTCTTCTCTTCTTCTCTTACTCTCCTCCACTCCTCTCCCCTTCCCTTGCCTCCCTTCCTTCCTTCCTTCCTCCTCCTAACCTTATTCTGGCTGAATCCACTTACAAACCTGTACTTCCCGTATTTCCTGCATCTATCACACCTAGCATGTTTTCACCTTAATCTCCTTCCCCTGTCCCACGCGCCTCACCACTGCACTTCGACGTCCCTTCCCAACCCCCCGCCTTTATTCCTCTTCCAACCCTCCTTCCGAACCTGCTGCCGTGGCTGGGCGATGCAGGATCCGAGGCTGTCGTCAGGGCTGTTCTTCCTTGATCTCATGTTTGCAGTGGAGCCAAGAGTGATCAACTGGGACATAGTCACCCGCGGCGCTAACGGTGGGTTGGTGCAGTGTGGTGCAGTGTGGTGTGGTGTGGTGTGGTGTGCCTGGGTGTCTCAGGCGCCTTGGAAGTCCTGTCAAGGGTTGTCGTCAGGGCTGTTCTTTCTGGACCTCATGTTCGCAGTGGAGCCGAGATTGATCGACTGGGAGATTGTCACCCACGGTGCCAATGGTAGGTGGTGTGGTGTCGTGCGGTGTGATGTGGTGTGCCAGGGTTTTTGGGGTGCCTCCACAACTGAGGCGCCAAAGAAACTGAGTCGTGTAAGAAGACACCCTGAGGCTGCCGCTAGGACTGCTCTTCCTAGACTCCTTGTGTTTGCCTTCCCATCATCTCCTTCCACCCCTTGTGCTCTCCCCACCCCCTCCCTGCACCCCATGCAGAGGAGGAGAAGCTGCAGAACGCGCACTATGTGATCAGCGTGGCCAGGAAGCTGGGGTGCTCCGTGTTCCTGGTGCCTAACGACATTGTCAAGGTGCGTGCGTGTGTTGGGACTTTTGCGGGAACTCAAAAGCCGCTCGATTCAAACGGCACTTGTGTGTCAACACCGAGTGAAGCTGACACCTGGGGTGCTTTGTGCTGTGCTTTGTGTTCCTGTTGCCCTTTTTCATTGTGTGACATTGTCAAGGTGTGTGCAGTAACACGTGTCTAGAAAACCATATGCCCGTCCTGTGTGTCTCATGTTTAGTCACCCCCGAGCATCATTGGCATGTGCTTTCCCCATCCTCTTGTTCTTTCCTTGCTTGCTTTCAAGTCGTGCATCACTGCTTGGTTCCAGTTGTATAGAAAGGCAACCATCTCGCACCCTCTGACCAATACCCCCACTGCTGCTTCTAACCCACCACCTTTCCAACTTTATCTCTATTCCACATTCCTCCCGCCCCTCCTGCGTTTCTTTTCCCTCCCCAGGTGCGACCCAAGATGATTCTCATGCTCACAGCATCAATCATGGCGTTCTACCTGCAATTTAAGGAGGAAAAGGACAAGGCTCTACGCGAATCGCTCGACTCTGGCACCACTATCCCTTCCTTTGCTGCTTCGAGCTCCTTCAACTCATCTGCATCCACAGCAAGTTCAGATGCGTCCATGCCTGTAGCTCGGCTGGAGTTTGAGGAGTTCACAGATACGCCAGTGTCTGCTGTGCAAGGTGTAGCCAGTGCGGTGGAGAGCGGTTCAAATGGGAGCATTCCATCGATCAAGCAGCGCAAGGCGGAGCTGTTTGCGAGAAACATATCGTCACCTGTGCCTATGAAGCCGCTTAGCCTGGCTGTTACCAGATAGCATGTGCGTTGAGTGAAATTGATGGACGGTGGGCGACTTGGGAGAAAGGAGATTTTATGGTGGCGTAGCTGTAGAACTTGTGAAGGTGGTGAAGATAAATGTGGAACATAATTTGTTATCAGGATGATTTGAGAGATGGAATATGCATACATGGGCTAGCAGCAGTCACACAATACAGGAGGGGTTGTACTGACTTGAACAACAAATAAAGTAATTAAAACGCAGCCAAGGCAAAGCCACGAAGGGAATTCACAAAGGCAAGTCACAGAGTCATATAGGTAAGGCAGGATGAGCCTGGGCAAAGGTAGATGAGGTGGGGGGGTTGAGGGAAGGCAATGAGGGAGGGGGAAGAGGGATGGAAAAACGAGGAGTGAAAGATAGTTAAGGGAGGTCGAGGGAAGATAGAGGCAATGAAAGGGAGATCTTGAATCGGGAGAGAGATGCACGGCAGGGGAACAGTAAGGGGAAAGTGTGGGGGAGATGAGAGGTAAGTTGGGGAAAGGATGGAGGGGAAAGAGGAGATTAAGGAGAGGTATGGTTGGTATGACTGGGACCCCCCCACCCCCCCTCCCCCTCCCCCCTTCCCCCCTTCTACTCCCACCCAATTCCTCTCTTCCCCACAATCCCGTACACTCCCCCAACCTTTCCCTTGCTCAAGGCCCAAAATGATGTGCATTCGCTTACTCACCGCCTTCGCTTGTTAACGGACGTTGAACCGGCCGCACTGCCGACGCCAATCGCGCGCCTACGAATTGAGACTAATAATGCGTCCGCATGGTATGTGCTCACAGATATATGGAGTTAAATTTGGTGCAAATCGATGCTAGTATTGTGTCCGCAAATGGTACTATTGTGCCCGCGAATCGACGTTCCGCAATGCATCGGTTAAAAAAAACGCGTGCTACTGGCTACTGTGCAAACATCTGAAGCACGCAACTGGCGGTACTAGGTTCACTACCTGAAGCGGCGAAAATGAATATACATAGAATATTAATATACGGCGAAAATTAATATACGGCTGATAACCGCGACTGACATCACGTACGAGAAGCCGCGAGGGTGGAAATCCAAGAAGTCACGGGCGCTTAGCGCTTAGGTCTACCGTAACAGAGACTGACAGACGGAAAGAAATGATGATGACGAAGTAGCATCTCGCATCAATCGTTCGAACCATAGAACAAGGCATCCTTAAAGCGACGGTGCACATTTGCCACCCAAAACCCAGAACCCTGGCGAACTGTTACTGCGGATGGAAAGTGTCCGCACGAAATCCTGGTTTTCGCCAGCCAGCACTTTCGCGCTGGCAAGCCTGGTTCAAAAAAAAAACTTCTGAACCCAACACTGCCAAAAGTTGCCCGTCGCTTTAAAGCTCAAGGCCCAAATTGCGCAAGATTAGTAATCTTGCGCAAAGTGGAGTCCTGTAGGGTGGGGGTGGTGAGCACGAAATCGAGGTCTGTGGCTCGTATTATTTCGCTGAGGTTGTGTTGGCTTCGCTGAGTCAGCGAACTTCTGGGGGCTGTGTTTGGTTGGGGACCTCGAGTCCCAAATTGCTGAGTTCGGAAAGTTGGAGTTTCAGCGGGGAGTGTGGCTTCGACCAATCAGAATGATTCGCACCTACAGTTACCAACTAATCGTCAAATGACAGCCCAAAAAACGCCAACTCTGCAAGATTAGTAATCCTGCTCCACGCGGCCCGCAATTTGGGCCTTGAGCTTTAATTCCAGGGCCCAGTTCGGCAGGCATTAAAAAAACGGTTTCCCCGGTTAGGCTACAGTAAACCGACCACCCTGGAACCTTCTTTGATAAGCGCGTGAAAGGTTATCTAGGCTCGATATAAGCGGATCATCGCCGAACCAGACAATAATGGAATGCCAGCCGAACACCCCCTTTGACGCTGGCATTTTCTACCAGAGGAATCTTCCTCGAACCCTATTTCCCAGGCAAATGGTCCATTTTCTGATACGCCGCACCATACTGCCTCGAGACCCCCCCCCCACACGGGGTATCAGTGATTCGGGGCAATCACACATTGCCCTGACAAAAACAAATCCCGGTCTTTCATGCCCCTCATTTTGCCCGCTGGGAAATCGCACATCACCAACACACCTTCACTAACACATCGAACGCACAGATTCTCTTGCCCGAATTTTTTCGACGTCCACCACTGGTTTGCATGGCTGCCCGTGCTGCCAGTACAGTGATTCTGAGCTCCATCAGCGCAGCTGCATGCGAGCTTCTGCGAAGTGTCATTTTCGGTTGATGCCGTTAATCCAGGCCCATTTAATGCCAACCGAACAGTCGGGCCCATTCTTCCGAAGTTAAACTGCAGCTACAGTCTGACTTCGCAGCTGTTTCGAGGGGCCATTTTTTGGGGGCCCGTTAAAAATGCCCAAAATGGCCATAATGGCCATAATGCCTGCCGAACTGGGCCCAGGGTGGCATCCTAAATTTTCATACAATACAAGTCACAAAACATCGCTAAGTTCCTAACTCTTCAACTACTTCTGCAGAACGCCAGCCGCTCAACTAGCTCGAAGTGTTTAACAGCTTTGTCTGTGCGGCCAAGGCCCTGTTTGGCAGGCATCATGGCAATTATGGCCACAATGGGCATTTCTAACGGGCCCGCAAAAAATGCCGCCTGGGCATTTCGAGAAACAGCATCGAAATCGGATAGTAGCTGCAGTGCACATTCGGAAAAACGGGTTGGAGTGTTTGGTTGGCATTATTTGGGTGTAGATTGATGGCATCTATCGAGATTTCGGGTTTTGCGGAAGATGGTAAGCAGTTGCCATGATGGTTCGTGTGATCATGTGATTGGCTGGCATATTTGACCAGTTACTTTTGATTGCCCCGAATCACCGATACCCCGCATAGTGCGTGGCCTCGAGGCCGCATGGTGCGGGGGATCAGAAAATGGGCACTTTGCCAGAGAAACTCGTTTGGGTGTAGATTCCGGCGGTTGAAAACGCCTGCAAAAAAAGGGGTGTTTGGTTGACATTCCATTACTGTCAGGTTCGGCGTAGTCCGCTTATATCGAGCCTTGATAGCCTATAACGCGCTTATCAAGAAAGGTTCCAGGGTGGTCGGTTCACTGTAGCCCATCCCCCTCGCCCGTTTTTTTGATGCCTGCCAAACTGGGCCCAAGTGTTGACCGCTCCAGGCGTTGAAGTGTTGAACCTCTGAACAGCTCCAAGTGTTTGAGCCGCTCCAAGTGTTGAACCGCTCCAAGAGTTGAACCGCTCCAAGTGTTGAACCACTCCAAGTGTTGAACCGCTCCAAGTGTTGAGCTGCCCGAACTCCGTCTTGAACTTGACCCCTCTTGGCCGTACACCCGCACACCGCGTTGAGGTGGAGGTCATTCGTGCGGGACCCTGTTTGGGAGGGCGGGGGGGACGGATTCTGGTAGGAGAGGAGAGGGAAGGTTAGTTTACTGCCCGCGGGCAGGGTTAGATCAGGGGAATTTAAACACCTCGGGATGACACTCCTCGGTTGTCAGAATTCGAAGACGCCAGGTTGTCAGAGGAAGAGGAGGTTTCCCAGCCGAGCCAAACCCGATCGTTCCCAAACGCACCTGACCGCGCCCAAACACACCTGACCACACCCTTCTGATCTAACGCTCCTATGCGCCTACACGTGCCTAGCTAGCCCACCTGTACCTCCCCAAACCATTCGCCATCCACCTGAACAAGGGAACGGGGAAGGGGAGAAAGGGGGGGAGTCAAACTCCAGCGCCTCGTTCCGCCGCTCGTCCGCTTCGCCGCTCTTCCGCTCCGCCGCTCTTCCGCTCCGCCGCTCGTCCGTCAATCCGCCGGTCGCCCGTCAACCCGCCGGTCGTCCGTCGCTTCGCCGCTCTTCGATTCGTCGCGACGCAGCGTCTCCCTCCTCCCGACTCTCTTTCTGCAGCAGAGACAAACACACCAAGAGAGACGTCAGTGAATTCCAAACCAAACACAAATGCTGAAATGGACAATATCACCTGATAGAGGCTCCCGCTCGTGCTCCTGCTCCCGCTCCCGCACCCGCTCCCACCAGCTCCTGCTTCACGAACCAAGGAAAATAGGAGAAAGTTAGTAACCGTGAAGGAACAATAGAAGCTAAACTGGAACGACGATCTTACCACGGAATGTTGTTCTTCCTCCGCGCTCCTGCCACTTCACAAACCAAGGAAAAACAAGAAGAAATGAGTAAACGTGAAGGAATAAAAGCAGTTAAAACCCGCAGCCTGAATTACAAGAAAAGTTGGGAGGTGTTAACACTTTCCCTCCCGAACCAGTGTGGTTACCAGGTTTTCACCTGCAAAACGTGAAAGAAGTCGCAGGCAGCGCAGGGAAGGGTCGCTCGGTTCCTGGGCTGAGGTGTGCACACCAAACTGGAAATATGTAATTCAGGTCGTTCGAAACTGCCTAGTCTGAGCAGCTAGAGCGACAGCCATAGCATAGAACATCTAGCATTCTACCCCATTCCAGCGCATGGCGGAAAATTCCTCCTTAGGACGTTAGGACCATGCCTTCATTCTTCCAATCCGTCTCTAAAGCGCCCCGCGGTTCTAGGTCACGTTTCCACTCGACATAGCTAGCCGGGGCCATGGTTGCACATATGCCCGTCGTCGCCCTGGTTTCACTTCCACACCGCCCACCGCACCAATGTCGCCTATCTTCATAGCCGCGACGTCCTCTCTATCCGCCGCGTAGGTTTCATCCACCTGCTTCGCCGCATCGCTTCTTCTCCCCGACGTCCACACTCGGACCCCTTCCGGAACACACACGCGATCCCCTCCATCCCTCACGCTTCTTCCCTCGAACGAGCACGCTCCCTTCCCTCCCATCTCCTTCACGCAAAACCCTCTGTTGCGCACGCGAACATCCCTCCGTCGCGGATGATAACGCCTTCCCGTCGCACACAGGCACTCCCCTCGAACGGTCACGCACACTCCCTTTCGTCGCCGGCGCGCACTCCCTTCCGTCGCCCACGCTCAAGCCCTTCCCGTCGCCCACGCTCACTCCCTTCCCATCGCGATCGCGGGGGGAAATCGTACCGTCGCCCACGATCATTCACTTCCGTCGCCCACGCTCACCCCCATTCCATCGCCTTCGCGCAATCCTTCGGTCGCACACGCTCACCCCCGCTCGTCGCCACGGCCTATTCCTTCCCGCATCTCCGCCTCACCCCGTCTCCTCCTCACCCCAGCTCCGTCCGCGCGCACTCCCTCCCGTTGCGCGCGACAACTCCCCTTCCGCCGCCCACGCTCTCTCCCTCCCGCCACGTTCTCTCGCTTCCCTCCTGTCGCGACAGTCCCCTCCGTCGCCCACGCTCACTCCTCCCCACCACGCACGCTCTCCCCCCATCCATCGCCCACGCTCACTGCCCGTACTCCGCACACGCTCACTTCCCTCCGTCGCCCAGGCTCACCCCCTGCCCCTCGCCTTCTCTCATTCCCCTCCGTCGCCTATGCTCCATCCCCATCCCTTCCCTCCCCATCCCTCATCTCCCCATCCCTTCCCTCCCTATCCCTCATCTCCCCATCCCTTCCCTCCCCATCCCTCATCTCCCCATCCCGTCCCTCCCCATCCCTCACCTCCCCATCCCCGCCTCCCCATCCCTTCCCTCTCCATCCCTTCCCTCCCCATCCCTCACCTCCCAGTCTCTCAACTTACCGTCCCTCTTCTCCCCATCCCTCTTCTCCCCATCCCTCTTCTCCCCATCCCTTCCCTCTCCATCCCTCACCTCACCATTCCGTTTCAACCCATTCCGCCCCACCCCATTCCGCCCCACCCCATTCCGCCCCACCCCATTCCGCCCCATCCCATTCCGCCTCACCCCATTCCGCCCCACCCCAATCCGCCCCACCCCAATCCGCCCCACCCCATCCCGCCCCACCCCATTCCGCCCCACCCCCATCTCCTCCTCACCCCATCTCCTCCTCACCCCTCATCCGTTGTGCTTTTCGGCACTAAGAAGCTTTTTGGGGAGGGGAGATGCGGTTCCGCCCCACCCCACTCCGCTCTCCCCCATCTCCGCCCCACCCCACTACGCTCTCCCCCATCTCCGCCCCACCCCACTACGCTCTCCCCCATCTCCGCCCCACCCCACTACGCTCTCCCCCATCTCCGCCCCACCCCACTACGCTCTCCCCCATCTCCGCCCCACCCCACTCCGCTCTCCCCCATCTCCGCCTCACCCCACTCCGCTCTCCCCCATCTTCGCCCCACCCCATCTCAAGGTCACCCCATTCCGCCCCATCCTTCAAAATCACCCCATTCCGCCCCACCCATCTCAAGGTCACCCCATTCCGCCCCATCCTTCAAAATCACCCCATTCCGCCCCACCCATCTCTGCCCCACCCATCTCCACCCCAACCCATCTCTGCCTCTCGTTTGTCTCCTACCATAATAATAATCCGCGAGTGTCTCTTTATTTCTTCCTCTTCGCAGGTGCCGGTTTGTCAGTGTCAGTGCCCACCCTTTTGTATGCGTTCTGCTTCAGCCACGAGCATCTGATTTTCACAACTGGGTTTGTACAGGTCCCCCTCCCCCCTATGCATTTGGTTCAGGAATGTTGGTTGTTGGTAGTACTACTACTAGGTATGACAAATAGACATGCCAATGTTGGATATTTAGTATTATATACTAAATTTTGATCCACAGAGGTATGAGACTGTAGACCACTTACAATGTGCATCAATCTAGTAAAAAAGAACAAGCTAGTCCATGTGATGTCTTGTCCAACTCTTGTCTGCACATACAGCAGCAAAAAACCAGGACTTGTGGTAGTGTGAGAGAGGCGAGGAGTGTGAGAGAGGCGGGGAGTGTGAGAGAGGCGAGGAGGAGTGTGAGAGAGGCGAGGAGTGTGAGAGAGGCGGGGAGTGTGAGAGAGGCGAGGAGTGTGAGAGTGGCGAGGAGTGTGAGAGAGGCGAGGAGTGTGAGAGAGGCGAGGAGTGTGAGAGAGGCGAGGAGTGGCGGAGGAGGATTGGGTTAGAAGGGGAGGAATTGCAGGGAAGGCGTGAGAAAAAATACCATGGAAGTTCAAAGGTAGGGAAAGGGAAATGAAGTGTTCGAGGGGAAAAGAGGCGATGAGGGTTGAGAGTGGGAATGGAAAGCAGGGGCTTATGAGGAAGGGTGCGTGGGGAGGCGTGGCGAGTGTGAGAGGGCGGGCGGACGTCGTGATGAGGCCCGCAGGCGAGCGCGGAGTGAGCAAGGGGATGAGGGTGGGCATGGGGAAAGGGAGTGAACAGGGGGGAACACCACGAACTGGGGGGAAGAGGGTGAGCAGGGGGAAACAGAATGAGCAAGGGGGAAACAGAATGAGCAAGGGGGAAACAGAATGAGCAAGGGGGAAGAGAGTGATCAGGGGGGGGGGAGGGAGTGAACAGGGGGGAACAGAGTGAAGGGAGGAAGGGGAGTAATTGTTATGCATGAGTGTACGTGGGTGAGAGTGAAGCTTTGGGTGGGGAAAAAAAGAGGTGGTAAACCAGGGCACTGGGAAGGGTAGAGAAGGCGGCGGGGCGGGAAACCAGGGCGTCGGCGCGAGGGAGGGGAATGGGCATGGGCGACGGAGGAAGGAAGCGAGGGCGAAGAAGAGGGGACGCTCGACGAAGACGTCAGCGGCGGGAATGAGAACAATGTTGACGCAGCGACAGGTGGGAGAGGAGAGGTCGACTCGGCGAGCGATGGGGAGGGAAAACGAGGGCGACGGGAGGGGGAAAGCGAGGTCGACGGGAGGGGGAAAGCGAGGTGGACGGGAGGGGGAAAGCGAGGTCGACGGGAGGGGGAAAGCGAGGTCGACGGGAGGGGGAGGCGGCGATGGCGACCCGCGAGGCGAGGGTGGTAGGCGGGGAAGATGCGGTACGCGACGGGCGGGGGAAGCGAGGGCGGCGGGTATGGGAAGCGAGGGCAACGGGAGGGGAGAAGCGAGGGCGGGCGGAGGAAGCAAAGGCGACGGGCAGGGAGGAGGCGAGGCGACGGGCGGGGAGGAGGTGGTGCGCGGGAAGAGCGAGGGCGACGGGCGGGGGAAGCGAGGTGGGCAAATCGCTAATATCTCCCGTGCCATCTCGTTTCTACGTGCGTCACACTCGCAGCCAGCGCCTACGATTCACTTCGATTGCATGACCGCGCTTCATCTTCTATTCGATCGTCCCTAAATTGTGTTCACTTGATATGCCTGGCTGGTGAGCGCGATGCTTGGATCCTAAAAAGCTTGTCTGAGTTGTTCGCTTGTTCTGTCGCACAGGTTTTTACCCTGCTCTAGCTCTCTGGGGTTGTAAGCAGAATGTATGCGAACTGTTGGGTTGCGTTGGCTGATAACGCCTCGTTGACTCACGGGAGAGTCGCATCATGTTTCGCTAACATTTTTGCTTTCGCAATTCTGCCGCACCTCATATTGCCCGAACCCCAAACCTACCAAACCAAGCGTTGACTCAGTTTTTGTAATTCAGGCTTCGGGTTTTAAAACCAGGGTGCACATTCAACGCGGTTCGGCTTGAGATGTTGGGAAGGGGGTTTGGAGAAAAACAGTGATTGGCTCACGAGGGGCGACAAAAAAATGATTCCGCTAGAGCTTCGGGCATTTCGTAGGTGGCGGGAGGGGGTGAAATGGCGGGAGTGGGTGAAACCGAATGGCGGGAGGGATGAAACAGATTGGCGGGAGGGGGGGGGGAAACGAAATCGCGGGGGAGGGGGGAAACAAAATTGCGGGGGAGGGGGGAAACGAATTTCGACGGGGAGGGGGAAATGAAATTGCGGGGGCGTGGGGAAACGAAATTGCGGGGGAGGGGGGAAACGAATTTCGACTTGAAGGGGTTGAAAGCACACCTCGTAACCCACTCAGTCAAGGGATAACCTTTGATGCACATTCAGCTGAATGTGCACCCCGGTTTTAACTGGAACGACGATCTTACCACGGAATGTTGTTCTTCCTCCGCGCTCCCGCTCCCTCCGCGCTCCCGCCACTTCACAAACCAAGGAAAAACAAGGAAAATCTTTTAAACGTGAAGGAAGAGGAGGAGGAAAACTGAAAGGACGAGCTCACCAGGGAAGTTGTCGTTGACGAAGTCTTGGACCAAGTCTTGGACGTCTTGGACCAAGTCTTGGACGTCCTGGACCAAGTCTTGGACGTCTTGGACCAAGTCTTGGACGTCTTGGACCAAGTCTTGGACGTCTTGGACCAAGTCTTGGACGTCTTGGACCAAGTCTTGGACGTCTTGGACCAAGTCTTGGACGTCTTGGACCAAGTCTTGGACGTCTTGGACCAAGTCTTGGTCGTTTGACGTTGTTCGCGTTGACGTAGCCTTGTTCGTAGCCTTGGTCTTGACGTTGATGTTGGTCGTAGCCTTCTTCTAACCCTTCCTTCCTGACTGCGCACGACCATGCCACGTCGCGAGTGAGAAAGGCCGAAAAAAGGTAACGAGACGGATGACAAAACGAAAAACGACGATGAATCTGAGAGGCGTCGCCAGCGCGGTGCGAAGCGTCGCGCGACCGGTGAAGAGTCGACATGCTCCCGCCGAAGCGACGCCGTGCGACGGGATACTCGTCGCCATGCCCCGGACGAAGCGACGCCGCGCAACGGGAGAAGCGCCATCGACGGGTCTCCGCAACATCTGCAGGGAACAAGAAAAACCGTTAGCTGAACCGTTGAAAAAAGGACGAATAACCGTTGAAAAGACACCGAAACTGCTTGTGGTGTTATCGCGTCCTTACCATCCGGCAATCAAAGCGCCACTAGCGACGGTAGAACCGTCATCGGCGGCACGCGCCGTCGCCTAACGCCATGCGACGATGGAGGCACCGTGCCTTGAAATCCCCTCGTGAAGATGCTCGCGACGCTTGCGACGATAGAAGCGCCACTCTCGGTCACATCTCCATGTCTCCATGTCGCGAAGCGGATCTGCACGAAACTACGAATCAGTTAGTGCTTTCTTAAAAGGAAGTGAAAACTAGCATAGGCCAAGAACTTGAAAACGAGACTGCACTTACATTCATCGTGGTGAGGCTTGAAAGAAACCGTCACCAACGGCGTGAAGGCAGTCCAGGCATCGGCAAGCGGCGAGTGGACTTCCGTGCCCATATCCGTCATCAGCGGCACGCGCCGTCGCCTAACGCCACGCGACGATCGAAGCGACCCTCGCGACGACGGAAGTGCCGTGCCTTGAAAGCCCCTCGCGACGATGGAAGTGTCACGATGTCGTGAAGCGGCAAGACACCAGCGATTCTGCAGGAAACAACGGCTGAGTTAGTGGAGATATTTATAAAAGTGAAACGGAAGAGCTCTAAAACGGAACCGCACTCACCTTCATTGTGGTGAGGCTTGATAAAGAAGCTCATCGTAAAGAGACTCGAGTGAAGCATCGCCAAACGGAAAGTGAGGTTCCGCGCGACGGGAGTGTCGCCATGTGACGGAAATCGCCGACGTCGTTGTTGAGAGAGAGCTCGTGCGATTGAAGGTTTCGTCGATCTTGACGTTCATATGGTCGTTGGGCTCTCACGATGGTCGCCTGCAGGGTCAACGGAAAACGCGTTAGTATATTTCCCTTCAGAAACAGAGGAAGTTCAGGAAAAGAGCGAAAGGCATATTCAGGGTAGAAAATAGCTTGAAGGTGTTGGAGATTACGTGTGTTGGAAGCAAGGTGGTGGTGGGGCGTTTGTATGCCCCCAACCCACCGAATGTGTGACTTGTGCTCACCTTCGAGTGAGTTGCAGGTTTGCGTGGGGTTGAGGATTGACTTCGGAAGACCCATTCGATTCGGTGCCACATGGCAGCACCAGGAACATTCGAGACCCAAGGAGAATTCGGATCGGTGAAATTCGAGAGTCGAATTTCACCCTTTCGATGTTACTCGAACATTCGCGAGTGTAGCGGTTCGAGGTTACTTGTGCGATTCGATCTTGTTTGCATGCTATAAATCTGTTTTCTTTGTATTGCATGCCATCATAGTGAAACTCAGAGTTTTTTGTACAAGGTACATTCGAACACAAATTCCAGAGAGCTTCTTTACTTGCATTCAAGAGCACCACCTAGCACGTGAACGCCTATATCTCGGAGAATACTTAGGCGATCGACGTGTTTGACGGCTCGTTGGAAAGCTAAGACAGAGCTCTATCGTTTAGAACAACTCCCAGTTCCTGCAAAGTAGAGGAGAGTCCTCTACAACAGTGGTATCAGAGCTGGTCGGAGGAGTCTACGCGCGCGACAAGGAGCACGCATGATGACTTCAAGCGAGGCCTCCCGCACTTCCTTGGATGGTGTCGTTGTAAATTCCGGCGAACCCTGGGCAACCGCGACGATGTTCGACACGTCGGCGGTACCGATTTTCACGGGACAAAACTACTCCGCGTGGAAGTTTAAGTTCCAAGTGCTCATGATGGAGCGGGGACTTTGGGGTTTCTTCGATGGAACGGAGAAGAAGCCGGACGATGAGAGCGGCATCGCGGCATGGAAGAAGAAGGACCAAAAGGCGTTCGCTACGTTGATTTCGCGCATCGGCATCAATCTCGTGAGCTCGGTGCGCATGTGCATCAAGCTCGAAGCGTCGGCGCATGAAGCGTGGAAGCGGCTCGAGACCATCCACGTGAACAAGACTCTCCACGGCAAGATCCTAGCCCGGAATGCGTTCTATACGGTGAAGATGCGCGCGGGCGAATCGATGCACGAGTTTGCGACTCGTGTGGAGGAACTCGGGGAAACGTTCATGGACCTCGGTGGAACGGTCACGGAGGAGGATTGGATTCTCACCTTGCTTTGCGGCCTTCCGGAAGAGTGGTCGACGGTGATTACGACACTCGATAGCGTGCAAGACACTTGGACGAAGGAAATGGTGGTTGGTCGGCTTCTCCATGAAGAATCGCGTCGCCGACAATTCGCTAATGAGAGCGAGGGTGCCGCCATGTACTCCGGAGGGAGTTCCGGAAAGAAGTCCAAGTGGAGCAAGGACGCAACGAAGGAATCGTCCCGTGGGAGCGAGCATCGCGGCAAGTGTCACTATTGCCGCAAACCGGGACACTTTTGGCGTGAGTGTCGAAAGCGGCCGAGCGATTGGACTCCATCGATGGCGCGGGACCAAGAGGGCAACGCGCACACGGCATCCGGCGAGGCCGATGATTCTAAGGAGTCGCTCGTGTTAGTGGCCGGCAACGGGAACAAAACTCCAAGCGACGCGTGGTTCCTCGATACCGGCGCAACGCAACACATGACGTACTCGGCGTCGCTCCTCAACAACATTGGCGCTCCGGGAGACGTCACGAGCATCGTGTTCGGAAACAACGAATCGCTACCGGTGGTCGGAGTTGGGAGTACGCGCCTCATCGTCGATAGCGGTCCGGTGGACGTGACGAACATGTTTCACGTCCCGGGGGTGAAGGTGAACCTTCTATCCGTCCCGCAACTTGCGAAGAAGGGAGTGATCGCCACGATCGACGGCGCGAACATGAACCTGTTTTGGAAGGGGAAGCAATTCGCACAAGGCGCAAGGTGGCGCAAGGTTCCAAGGCGACTCTCAAGGCGTGGCATAATCGACTTGCGCACGCCAACTACGACTCGGTCAAGGAGTTAGCCAACAAAGGACTCGCGAAGGGAGTCGACGTGATCGCCGGCGACGACGAGAAGGGCGTGTGCGCGGCGTGTGTCGAAGGAAAAATGGCTCGCAAGCCATTTGGGAGCCGAACGTCACCCCTCGCTAAGGACCCGCTTGCGCTTGTTCACATGGACGTGTGTGGACCGATGCGGCATGCATCAAAGGGAGGAGCGCGGTTCCTCTTGGTAATGCTCGACGATGCGACGCGGATGTGTTGGACCCGACTTTTGAAGGCTAAGGGAGATGCGGCCAAGGCGATTCAAGAGTGGGCGCTCGAAGTTTGCGACGATGACAAGAAGCGGATCAAGTGTATTCGCACCGATGGTGGTGGCGAATTCGTGAATGCGGAGCTCGAGAAATGGATGAAGTGCAAGGGCATTAAGCACGACGTCACAACACCCTACACACCCCAACAAAATGGAGCGGCGGAGCGGCTTAATCGCACGTTGGTGGAAGCCGTTCGTTCTCTTCTTCAACACTCCAAGCTTGGGAAAGAGTGGTGGGGCGAGGCGAGTTCGCTAGCGGCGTGGATTCGCAACCGTTTGCCGACGAAGGTGCTCCCGGGAATGACTCCGTTCGAAGCATGGACCGGAACGAAGCCGAACCTATCCCGCCTTCGCACCTTTGGGTGCCTTTGCTACTACCATGTACCGGATCCTCTTCGCCACAAGTTGCAACCGAAGGCTCGTGCGGCGATCTACTTGGGAATTGCGGCGAACGAGCGTGCGTGGCGAGTGTGGGACTTGGGCGACAAGTGCGTCGTCACGTCTCGGGACGTGGTCTTCGATGAAGACAAGTTCCCGTCGAAGGAGAAACCCACTCAACAACTCACCTTCATCTTTCCGCCACGAGAGGAGGTTGAAGAGAGTGAGACTCCACCTCAAGTGGAGAAGGAAGCCGATGGAGGGGGAGCGAACAACGAGGAGAGCATTGATGATGTCGTGGAGGTGTCACCAACCGAGGCGGCAACTACCTCCACACCTTCCTCCCTACCATTGGCCTTGACCCGCGAGCGTCGTGAGGTTCGTCCTCCCTCCAAGTACAACGACTACGCTACGGTAGCCGTTGGGGAGACGGATAAGGAGGGCGCGGCATTTTGCTTCGCAACCAAGGGTGATGATGAACACGCGAAATCTCTCATGGAACCACCCCCTAAAGATTCATCCCGTGCATGCTATGAGCATGTTGGTTTGCACACCTAGTGGGTTGGGTGCAAGGGGGAGTGTTGGAGATTACGTGTGTTGGAAGCAAGGTGGTGGTGGGGCGTTTGTATGCCCCCAACCCACCGAATGTGTGACTTGTTTCGAGACCCAAGGAGAATTCGGATCGGTGAAATTCGAGAGTCGAATTTCACCCTTTCGATGTTACTCGAACATTCGCGAGTGTAGCGGTTCGAGGTTACTTGTGCGATTCGATCTTGTTTGCATGCTATAAATCTGTTTTCTTTGTATTGCATGCCATCATAGTGAAACTCAGAGTTTTTTGTACAAGGTACATTCGAACACAAATTCCAGAGAGCTTCTTTACTTGCATTCAAGAGCACCACCTAGCACGTGAACGCCTATATCTCGGAGAATACTTAGGCGATCGACGTGTTTGACGGCTCGTTGGAAAGCTAAGACAGAGCTCTATCGTTTAGAACAACTCCCAGTTCCTGCAAAGTAGAGGAGAGTCCTCTACAACAGAAGGAACCGCACTTGCCTCCTTTGTTGTGACGCTTGAAGGAGAACCAAGCGTCGCCGAAGGGAAGTGATGATCCGTGAGACGGACGAGCAGCGCCATGCGACGCCGAGAGCCGAGAGCCGGCATGCGCCACCGCCGACGAAGAGAATCACCGCCGCCGTTGTTGAGTGAGAGCTTGGAGAGTTGAAGGGTCGACGGTGAGGATGGGGAGAAGCTCTCAACCCCGATCCAACGGTCACGCTTCCATCGACGTTCATATGGCATGAGTTGGGCTCTCAAGTCTTAACTTGGCTTCAGTTGGACTTGGAAGCGTCCAGATGGTTTGTGGCTCTCAGGTCGTTGGGCTCTCAGAGCGGCGATATGGTTGCCTGCAAGGAAGGCATAAAAAGAGGCGTTAGCAAAAATCATATCCAGAGGAATATCAAAGCTTCGAAGCAGAAGAAGTGTAAATGAAAAACAAATTCAGATAATAACGAAGTCTGGAAACAGAGAAAGTTCAAAGACTGTACTTACGTCAAGCGTCTTCATTTTGGCGTGAGGACATGAAGAGCTGACGCGCGTCAACGGCGAGGACGGGGAGAAACGCCATCGGTCTTGACGTGGCTGGATGGCGCTCCGTTCGTTGGGCTCTGTTTGAGCTTTGGCTTCTCCCCCTGAAGATTTCTTCTTCGTGCATTCTCGTCGCGTACTGAAGTCGCGTACGGAAGATCTCTCCGCGTACTGAGAATCTTGATGTGACGAGTTCACGAGAAGGCTATCGCGGTGAAGGTGTTGCCGCGACAACCAACCAACCCAGGGCGTCGTACAAGGTTCCGACCAAGGCACGCAAGCAGCTCGCTAGACTCTCTATACTACCCAACCCATCCCACCCACGACTCTCTGTACTACTCTACGCTACCTCAGCGCTGCTGCATGCTTGGTGTTTTCCCTTGTACTAGCCGGGCGGTTTCATGTAGGACGGACTGCTCATTGGAGATAGTAACTTGAAGTCCGTATTAGAGAGCTCGTTAGGAGAGAGCCTCTCTGAACATTCCTTCGATGGGATCGTGAAGGAAAAATAATTCGAAAATGGACTCAGCCGTGGGACTATACCAGGTTTCGGTGGAAGGGATGCGTCTGCCAAAGGAAGGAGTAAGCCGAGCTGACCAGCGGCCTTGATTCTGTGTTTGGCGTTTGCCGCCTCCCGCAGCGCGTTTTCAAATAAAATGTGATGGGTTGCTGGGTGCAAAGGGATGCGACACGGCGCGGCTGCTTTTGTGCCCCTGTGGAGTGCGGGAAAAACTTGCGTTGGTTGGGTTGCAGGACACAATTTGAATGGATGGTGGCGATGAAGAACTGTATCCGCCGCCAACGGTGGAAATTCGTTTGAGCTGTGCGATGGAGCTGTGAATCGTGCGATTGGTAAATTGAATTCGCGGTTTGGAAGTGTGATACTCCGTGATATTGTTTAGGCGGCTGATAGGTGTACAGTGCAAACAAACTGCCTTGCATAACATTTGAACACTTTCAATTTCACATACTTGAATGTATAGAGTTGAGAGCCTGGTTATTTGGTTGGGTTTGGTTGTCTTGAGGCAAACGAATCATCTCAGGGCGCGTACTTTTTGTGGTAAGGTCTGGTTGGTAGGCACCCGACGTCAGACTTAGAGCTGGAGCAGGAAGAGACATTTTTTAGGAGGAGACTGACGTGGCACTTCCTGTTGAATTAAGGGGTTGAGTTATTTAGTGAGGCTTGCGTGAGGTGCGGGATGGTGTTGAATTGGGCAACGTTTTTTTTTCGGCTGAAGTGTCGCGAGGTTTAGCTGCTCTCACAACTCCCTTCGCTGACTGTGAACCAGATTGGGGCAGCTGAAATAGCGAGGGGTGTTTGAGGGAAACTCAAGCGAGCCAATAGGAATCGAGGGAGGCACAACCACCACGCCACATCAACCACCACCCTCCCCTCCCACCCTTCTTTAGTTCCGCCATATTCTTCTCTCATCGTCATCGTCCTTTCTTGGTTTCCAGTCTGTTAGATCTAAGCGCGTTACCGTCGCCTCTTGGTTTTCAGGTTCTTGGATCTAAGCGCAAGTTTTTGCACCGTAGGTAGTGTTAGTCGCGCTTATCAATCGCGCTTATCAGTCGTAGTTTAGAATTTGTCACTTGACGTAGTGAGGTAAGTACCGTCAGCTTCAAGTAGTCACCGCCAGTTGCTTCAGATGTTTGTACAGTCGCCAGTAGTCGATACATTATTGATTTTCTTATGCATTGCGGCTGAAGTAGTTAATGTATTAGCGTTAATTTGCGGACGAATAGTTAATGCTGATTTGCGAACACATTAACACCATCGATTTGCAGACACCTCCCATGCAGGCGCATCAAAGCTTCGGTTCGTGCCCATTAGTGTCGCCAATACCTCCTACGCGATTTCGTTAAGCAGATTAAGCGGAGGCGCCTCAGCATGGATGATGGCTGATGTTAGAAGAAACGTTACCCCCCGAAACGGTAGAAGAAAGGGAAGGAGAAAGGTAAGAGCCGTGGGTGTGTTGCGGGAAAGGGAGGGAATGCGGGAAAGTGGGGGGAGGGCAGAAGAGGAAGGGGGGGGGGGGGGGGGGGGGGGAGGAGGGGTGTCGGGGGGAGAGGAGGGGGGAGGGGGGGATCGAAGGACATCCCTCATCTTGTCCCGCTCTCCTTTTTTTTTCCCCGCTAATCGTCTCATCCCTTTCCTCTCCGCTCTCCGCTCATTCCTCCCGCTCTCCCCTCGTTCCCCCCTGCTCTCATCTCATCTTCCCCCTTCTCTTCCCTCAATTTCCCCTCCTCTTTCCCCATACAGCTGATTCCAGATCTCCTTTCTCCTTCTCCTGCTCACCCCTCATCACCCTCTCACTCGCCCCTCTTCTCCCCCCTCTTCTCCCCCGCTCTCCCCTCTTCTCCTATTCGCCCATCTCTCATTCCACCTCCACTCCCCCCCACCTCCCCCCCACTTACCCCGCATTTCTCCCCCGATCCCCTCAATTTCCCTACCTTCTGTTTTCCTCAAGCCGTTCACCAGCTCTGCTTCACTCTGCGCTCCTCTCCTCCCTCTCTCTCCTCCCTTCTCCTTTCCCCTCCCCTCCCCTGCCCTCCGTCCACCTGCCTTCCTGCACTCGTCCTCGCATTATGCAGGGGCCCTGGAGTGGTGGGGCAGCAGCCAGTGCTGCCACCAGGGGCATCATTCGAGTACACGTCTGTCTGCCCTCTAGACACTCGCAAAGGAGCCATGGTCAGTATCACCACCACCACCACCGCCGCCGCCGCCACCGCCACCACCACCGCCGCTGCTGCATATCCCTGCTGCCTCCACTTGCCCTGTTGATGCTCCTCTCTGTTTGCCCATGTTCCATCCTTTGCTACACCGTTGTGTAACAAGTCACAGGGTCTGTTTTCACACACCCATGCACATGCACTAGATCTCTGTCTCATGGTGAAATGGACATAGTTCACTTGGTGTCCTGATTATGCTGTATGCGGTTAACTTGTACTGCACACCCATGCACTGTCTCTCTCTCTCTGTCTCATGGCGAAATGGACACAGGGTAGTTCACTTGGTGTGCTGATTACGCTGTATGTGGCTGACTTGTTCCGCAATCCGTTGTGTTGTGTGTGGAGTTGCGTGCTTGCTTGCTCTCTTGCTTGCTTTGTTGCTTGCTTGGATTCTTACATTCATGCTTACAGGAAGCTGATTTGAGATGGTGGACGTTGCAACAAGCTTTCGAAGTCAAGATAGGCGCGTTCGACCTTGAGGTGTATCAGGATGGCCTCTGATCAGCAGTATACGTACAGTACAGTACACCTATTTTTGTCACACCACTTAGGTGACACATTATTTGCTTGTGCATGTGCTAATGTTCAATTCTCCTCTGCTGCCACAATGTGTCACCGTAATGCTTCTCGGTCAAAATACCACATTCAATCAGCAACTGGTACTGCACCATATGAAGAGCGGGCCACATATGTTGCACAAGCAGCAAATGCAGATGTGGTGACACCTAGTGATCCCCTTTCCTTCCAGTCAGCATGCTAGTACGTACATCTTTTCCAGACTGATGGCTCCAGTGTTGCAACTTGCATGCCTTGTTCTTTGAGAGCAGGTCTTTGAGATTCAGGGAGAGCATATCCCTGCACACGGCGTCAAGTAAAATGCAGTTGCCAGTACACTTCAATAATTTTTCCGTATACGGTACAGAGATGTTACACTTGGGTCACGTCACGATCTTCTGATGAAGCGTGCTATGGTGCGCTCTACCGCACTTTCGCCATGCACATCGTCTCCACTTCGTCGTCCGATATCCCGTACTTACGGTACACCACCACAGCAGCCACTCCACGCATCAACGAGCCCTGCTGTCGGCACCCCGTTGGTCCTTCCCGTGCGTCGCATCATCCGCCTCGGGCTTGTCGTCCGCGTCGGCGACTTTCGGCCGCGGCTTGGCGTCCGAACACCACAGCAACCAGTCTATACGCGCCTCAATGCGCCGCGCTTTCCGCATCCAATTTCCGGTTTCCCGTGCGTCGCGTCATCCGCGTCGGCCTTGTCGTATGCACGCTGTCCAGGGTCAGCCACGTGTATACGCGTCTCAGCGAGCCCCGCTACGATCTTCATCCAATTTCCGTTTCCCTTTCGTCGCATCCGCTTCTAGCTTGTCGTCCGCGGCGGGAACTTTCGGCCGCTTGGCGTCGGGGGGGAGGCGGCTGGCGAGCTCGTCGCGCTCCACGTGTAGGCGACGAACCTCCTTCTTCAGCAGCGCGATGAAGTTAACGGCCTCGTCTAGCATCGTGGCCGTGTCTATGCGCGGATTCCAGATCGGGAGCGATTCCTTTAGGCGGTCCAGGCGGGAACTGGGGGGGATATATGCAGGGAAGGAGGGACACGCATTGCATCAGGCAATTGGGAAAAAGAGTGCGTGAAAGTGTGGTTGATGCATGAAATGATGGGTATCCTGTTAAATGCTGTCTGATGCCTGGAATGTCGCTTGATGGTTTATGGAGGGTCTTGAGCCTGAATCCGTGTCTGGTGCCTCTGGTGCCTGGATCAGTGTCTGCTGCCCGAATCAAAGTCTGCTGCTGGATCAAAGTGCCTAGGTCAGTCTCTGTTCCCTCTATTGATATCTGGTGCCTGAATAAGTTTCCGGTGCCTGAATCAGTTTCCGGTGCCTGAATCAAAGGTTCACTGTATCGCTGGCGGTGGCATCATGACGGCTGGAAGCAGCATAGACCCCTCTCCATGCACTGGCCAAAGTTACCCCGCTTCCATACCCTCTCCTACCTCCCTCCCATTCCCAACAACCCCATTCCCCTATCCCCCAACCACCATCCTTCCCCTCTCCTCCCCCGATTCTCCCTCCTGCAGCTTCCACTCCCCTCCCTGTTAGCAGAGCATTATCCCACGCTCTCCTCACTCCCATTCACCCGCCGCATCCTCCCCCCCATCTCTCCCCCTTCCCCCAACTCCCTCCGCACCTGATCTTGCTGCGTCTGTTCCGCTCAGCCACGCTGCGTGGGCGTGTAGAGTGTGCCCCGCCCCCGCGCGCCTGCATGGCCCACTCGCTGCCCTCCTCTCCTTCCGCCACGTCCTGGGGCTGGGGGGGTTGGTGGGGCCATGGGGGAAAGGCGAGATGCGCGGAATGAGTCTTGAGGCGCCTCGAAGGTTGTGGTTGGTGGGGACCATGGGGGAAAAGGTGAGACGCACGGAACGAGTCATACTTTGAGTCGACTCAAAACACCACTCGCTGCCCTCCTCTCCCTCCGCCGCGTCCTGGGGCTGGGGGGGTTGGTGGGGGCCATGGGGGAAAGGCGAGATGCGCGGAGATGCAGGGGAGGGGGATCTGGCAGGAAGGGGAAAAGGGGGGTGGGGGCGGGCGGCTGGCGCAGCTGATGCAGAGAAGGAGGGCGTGTGCAAGGCAAGAGTAGTCGGTCTCTGGGTACAGTGGTCAAGATGGTAGGGAGAAGAGGAGAGAGAGGAAAGTGAGTGTGTCTGTTAGAGAGAAGGAGAGAGAGAGAGAGAGAGAGAGAGAGAGAGAGAGAGGAGGGGGGGGGGGGGGGGGGGGGGGAGAGAGAGAGAGGGGGGGGGGGAGACCTTGCATGTATGTAACACTGCCTCCTATATTAATGGAGGGAGAGAGGGAGGGAGGGAGAGAGGAGACTCACACTCCACTCATGTTGCTGTGCCGCATGGCCCCCAGACGCACCCCCTCCTCCGCCGTCCCCATCGATATCATCATCCACTCCTTCCATATTGGCAGCAGCAGTGGCGCCAGCAGCAGTGGAAGGTACAGCAGGAGAGGCAGCAGCAGCAGCAGCAGCAGCAGCAGCAGTCGTCCTGCCACAAGGATCAGCGCCAGCACCAGCGTTAGCGCCAGCGCTAGTACCAACAGAAAATCTTCTCCTGGTGCGTCCCCCACCAGGGCTTCTACTAATGCCCACACCATGCGAAGCATCAGGTGGTTCGGTCCCACACCATGCCCGCCTTTTGCCTTCTCTACCACCGCCAACAGCAGCACCAGCAGCAGCAGCAGCAGCACCACTAGCATCGTCACCAGCAGCACCACTATATAAAGGTTCCTGCTTTGCTGGTGTGAGGTCGTAGCTGCCACTGCCCATGGTGCCGCCACTGCCACTGCCGAAACTACCCATAGCGCTGCCTGCGCCGCGCTGCTGCCCTTCCTGCCCGCTTCTGTTCCGCGCCCGTTTCCTCCCCATCCTTGCGTCCTCGCTCTCCCTCCATGCGTTCTCCTCGCCTTGATTGCTGGAGGCCCGTTTCTCTCCTTCTTGGGCACTTGTTTCTCGTTTCTCCGCGGTTGCCCCCCACCTCCCTCTGCCGTGCTCCCATGTGTGTGTGAGACCGTGCTGCTGTTGCTCGTTGCTGCTCCCAACCTGTTGTTGAAGCTGGTACTGCGGATGCTGCTGTTGTTGTTGCTCTTGCTGCTGTTTTTGCTGCTGCTGCTGCTGCTGCTGCTGCTGCTGCTGCTGCTGCTGCTGCTGCTGCTGCTGCTGCTGCTGCTGCTGCTGCTGCTGCTGCTGCTGCTGCTGCTGCTGCTGCTGCTGCTGCTGCTGCTGCTGCAGCATCAACACCCGAACAATACTCTCAGGGGCATGGGTGACCGCTGAGGGGAACAGCAGCTGTCTGATTGGATCCCTAGCCCCATCACCTGCACCACCGCCTGAGTCACCACCTGTGTTCGGAGCACCAGGGCTGAAACCAGCGCCGCTGGATCCAGCAACAGGCGCACGGACGTGCCCCAAATTGCCCCCAGCCGCAGCAATGGCTGCTGCCACTGCAGCAACAGCAGCCGCGAGATTGGACGGCTGATGCACGCTCCCTGCAGGGCTGAAGGTAGTGTTTCCTGCTGTGCTGACGCCAGGGTGGAATAAAGCAGCTGGAGAAGAGAGGAGAGTGTGAGGGAATGACGGAGGAGCCGCCACATTGGGGGGTCCAAAAGGAACAGGATAAGGGGCTGTGCTCGTAGGAGGCATGGCCCTGAACGGGGCCGGATGAGGGGGTGTGTGAGTGTACGGTGGTGGTGGTTGGAATGCGGGGTGCTGGGCTAGTGATGCAGCAGCGGAAGGGGGAATGAGGCCAGCAGCGGCAAGGCTGAGAAGCGCGTGGAGCTGATATTGCTCCTGGGAGAAGGGATGCGAGTGCGGTATTGGTAGGTTTTGGTTTGTTTGGATCCGGTGCTGCTGGGTGGCTGAGGATGCGTGGATGGGCGGCAAGATGGGAGTGATAGCCGATGGTGTGGCTGTCGACCCCCCCACTCCAGGAGGAGGAGCAGCAGCAACAGCAGCAGCAACAGCAGCAGCAGCAGCAGAAGAAGACGAAGCAGCACCAGGATTTGGCATCGAAACCCCCGCGGCTGCAAGAATAGCAGCTGCTGCGGCCGCTACTGCAGACGATGATGATGTTGCTGATGTGTCTCCGTGACTGTGAGATGGGGGAGAGAGGGCACCGGCCGGGGCGTGGGCCGGGGAGTGTTGGGCAGCAGGATGAAGTGGAGTGGGAAACCCAAAGGGATGAAACGGAGAAGGGGAAAGAGGCGGCGCCTGAAGAACCGGTGGGAAGGGCGGCGAAAGAGCCGGGGAAAGGCTAGACGCAGTGGTTGGGCTTGATGGAGGGTGGTTTGAGGTAGCAGCAGCAGCAGCAGCAGCAGCAGCAGCAGCAGCAGCAGCAGCAGCAGGTGCAGACTCGGGGGCTTCTTTCTTGAGAAGACTGCTGAGTGCAGAGCTGGTAAGCCATGGTGCGGCCCCTGTGGTAGTAGCTGCAGCCGTAGCAGCCTCAGGCTGCTGATCAGAATGCGGGGGGAATCCAGCGACTGTAGTAGTCGCAGGGCCACCAAAGCTCGTGTCTGACGATCTCCACCGTCCCACACCGATCCCCACACCACCGCCACCCTCGCCTCCTCCTCCTCCTCCTCCTCCTTCCTCTGCCTCCCCCTCCCGTTGGAGGGGTGAACCAGGGGCGGTGGGAGCTGGTGTAGGTTCAACCCGCATGGGGAACCCGGGCGTGCAATGGGCGGAAGAGCGTGTGGCAGGGGAGGACGAGGCAGCGGTAGGGTGGGTGCGAGAGTGTGGAGAGTGCGGAGGGAGCGGAGAGGGCGGAGAGGGCGGAGATTGCGGAGGGATCAGCGAGTTTGGAAAGCCAGAGGATGGAGAGAAGAGTGAGGCGAGGCCCCTGCTTTGAGCAAGGTCTTTTGAGGGGCGTTGAAGCTCTGAGGGGCGTTGAAGCTCTGAGGGGCGTTGAAGCTCTGAGGGGCGTTGAAGCTCGGGGCGTTGAAGCTCTGAGGGGCGTTGAAGCTCTGAGGGGCGTTGAAGCTGCTGCTGCTGCCGCTGCCGCTGATGCCACTCGTGCCATTGCAGCCACTGCTGCTGCTGCTGCTGCAGCAGCCACTGCTGCTGCTGCTGCTGCTGCTGCTGCTGCTCGTTGCCAGCCATGGCTCGGTCACGGACACGAATGAGCGGCTTCTGATCCTGCTCCTCGTTGCATGATGCGGCACGCCCTTGCGGTCTTGCTTGCGGTCTTGCTTGCGGCCTTGCCGGTACTAATGACGGCGCGGATGTTGCCACAACGCTGTCTTGCGAGGACGGTAGCAATCCAGCAGCCGCCGCAGCAGGTTGTATTGGTGCCTGTGTGCCTGCGGTTACAGCTGCTGCGGCTAGTAGTACTGCTGAAGATGCTTCGGTTGCGGCCGCCGCGGCGGCGAGCGGGGATGATGCTGAGCTGTTCACGTGAGACAGCGGTATCGTGGCAGTGGTGTCAGGACGGCCAATGCAGAGGCCTAGATTCGGCATGGAACCTGCCGACCCTGGCGCGCCATCAAGGTAGTGGCCGTTGTTGCTCATGATCATCACTACCATGCTGCTGCTGCTTCTTCTTCTTCTTCTTCTGCTGCTGCTGCTGCTTCTTCCTCTGCTGCTGCTGCTGCTGCTGCTGCTGCTTCTGATGCTGCCGCCGCCGCTGCTAACGCAGTCTCAAGCCGCTGTGCTGCTTGGGCATATGATGCTCCCTAAGTTCTTGCCTTATTGCTGCTGCGTGCCTTCTTCCTCCTCGGATTCACCAGCTGCCGCGTTGCGTGGGTGGTTGGTATCGATAAGCAGCAGTAGTAGTAGCAGCAATCGGAGTGTTTTATAGCGATTTTTTTTTTTTTTTTGGGGGACCACATGCGGCAGCTTAGCAGCAGTATTTTGATCGTAGTCTTTCCTCAGAGCGAGTGCCTAGCAGTAATAGTACGTGCATCCTCTCACTAGACACGCAGCGCGCGGCGATCATCGCGTGCGATCAGCCATGGATTCCCCTTGGCGGCACCTGCAGTCCATTTCGCGAAGAGCAGCCATGGCGGCAAATCCAGTTGCTTCACAGGCAGAGTTTGACGGTGGTGATGGGAACTCAAGATCCTAACGTTGAAGAAACAATCCCTTTCCGGGTTGTCCGCATCCTAGGAGCTTCAGGTATTAGAGCCCGCTGAGGAGCGGTGTAAAGAAGGCGGCAACTATGATTGCACCCCTCGAATCAGTTAGCATTTCTGGGGGGATTTGTGTCCACTAGCATAAAAGGGCTCAGGCAGCAGTAGCTGCACCTGGCTCAAGACACAAAACTCATCCTTCTGCGCCCTTTCACAGCGTGAATTGAAGTCCACTCACTCGCCCCCCTCTTCGCCCACCTCTCCTGCGGCTAATCTCTTGGATCGATCCACGCAGCTTCAAATCCCGAAGGTGATTCTCATACAGGGGCTCTAGTAAGGCTCCTCCCCTCCCCTCCATCTCATGATGAGCAAAGCGGAACGCCGACAGTGAGGGGATTGCCTGCCGATTTGTCGGGCATATGATTATGATGGCGGAAGCTTGGTGCATGCATGGGACGCAGGTGGCTTTCATCTGGAGCCCACCGCTCCGTCGGTCAATTTTTTTTTTTCCCCTTGGTTGCATTGCATTGAATTGAACTGTTCTACGCATTGCTGTACAGTTCTGCTGTACAGCATTGCTCTTTCGACAGCTTCTTTCTGTTTCACCTGGACTAAACAGCATTGCTGGGTGGCCTGGCCTGCATACATTTCGTGTGCACTGCACTGAAGTTCAATTCTTTCTACACAGGTTGCTCAACAGTTGCACGTGAATCTGGTCTATTTAATATCGACAGCCTGCCCAAATGCAATTGGTACCAGCGAGTTGCACGCACGATACAAGCCCCTATTTTGATCGCAGCCCTTGAACACACAGCTTATCACGCTGGCATCCGTCCGTTCGTGAGATATTTTGAAGAAGCTGGTTACATTGGTTCACCTGCCCACTACAGTCCCGATTTTGCCCGTGGCGAATGTTGGCGAGCGGGCGAAGCAGTCGCTGCTTTTTAAACACTAAAATGAAGGATAAAGTTGTGAAAGTCTAACAAGAATCTGGTGTAGTTCACACGCCATCGGTCGAAAGCGCAAATGCAAAACTCTTTGGTGCAAACGCCAAGGGCGTGTCTCACGCGTTCGTTTACAGTTCGAGTTCATGGTTGTAACCCTGTAACCCTTGAATTACGAGACTGCATGACATGCGTCTTCAATGACGCACCTGAATGACACGCCCAGGACGTCAAGTGGTTCGTATTATCCCGCGTACAAGGTACGTGCGATCACCTCGTACCAGGTCTTGCAGTCCGTTACCTCAATTTGAAAATTCAGTCGAGCGAAAGTAACGATCGTCGCAAGCGACATAATGATTTCGCACTAGGGCGGGTTACCGATCATGGCTTATGTTAAATGTAATTCGGATGACGATTTTTGTGTGGGCCGGACAGGGTCTGCCGTGGGTCAATTTCGTTTGGAACTGTGCTGACGCGCTGCGTGTTTTTTACGTCAGAGTGTACACTCTTTTGCTTTGTCTCAGTAACGTAAAAATGATGGTTTTCTCCCCAAACGAACTCATGGGACACTCTCGCGAATACCATTTATTTTAAAAGGAACCCTTACGGAAGTTTGGGATGGACCCATGACAGCTCTGGTCGCACCTGGTCAGCAATCTAATTTTCAAACGTTTGGACAATGTGATACTGAGGATCATACTACAGTAGCTGAGTGCAAATGATCCTGCGCTCCCGTCGGTAGGAAGGGAAACCACCTGAACTTTCGGCAGTTAAAGGCGGGGTGCAACTTCTTAGGAACAGTAGCAGGACAAACATGGAGTGTGCGTAACGAGACCCTTATTGGATGAAAAAAAATGGAATCTCGGAAAAGACAAACTTCTCGCCACAGAACTGCCTGGGACAACCAAGTTCCAAGCTATAATACTTCGAAGTTGAAGCTGATAGTTGGGCCACGGCTTTAAGAGCCCACCAAAACTGTGTTTTAGCCTCGTGGGACTGAAAGCTGCCGGTATTTAGCAAGTCCCATGATGGGAACCCGTCTCGTACAGAACAGTCTTTTACAGACGAGGGGGCCCAAAGTGCTATCGAACAAGGCCGTTGAGGGTGTGTTACGGAGGGAGGGTTCACAGTGAAGACACGAGATTCGGAACCGATGACACAAGTGTACACAGTGAAAGTGGTCTGACTGTGGAATAACTGTTTCCCCACCCCACCTTCTCATTGGTCTCATTGGCGTGCATTGTGTGTCAATAAGCAGCACCAGCATCCAAATTATACATCATCTGACGTCAGGAAACCGTCACATCTTTGTCTCTTGCAATCTGTCCGGTTTACATGGCTGGGCCGAAAAACTTTGGGGTGGTGACAACATTTCTGTCTGAAATTTTCGTCCATCCCAGGGAAGAGCCACACAATCAAGCTCAATAAAGATATGCAAGGATAGTGTGTGCTGAACGTGGAGGTGCGTTTAGACAACAGTGAAGTCGGTTACTTAGACAGTGAGAGGTTGCACTGAAAAGTAACTGCCGTGAATCCAAATCCATTGGCCGAACATTCTGACAGTCAAGGACATAGGTCGGCCAGAAATCATATGCGTCGATACTCGATGAAACAGCCTCATTAACAGTGGAGCAACTCTTCTTCTACAATAAAATGGCAGTTAAGCCATTACTCCACTTAAAATGGTTAACACCACTTTAGCTAGCATATTGGGGAATGCATCATAAGCCTTCTTTCACCACACCACTCCAAATAATATATCAATTAGCACTAAATATACCCCTTTGTTGAATCCTAATACCATGGCCCTGTCAACACCGCCGATCTCATCGAGTCCTCGCCAACCACTTGTCCTGCCACGGCTGCCAGTACGGAGGAGAGGTTGCAGGGGTTGGCATTGAGCCAGCTGCGCCAGCAGCTACAACCGCTACCCAACCTACTGCCTCCCACACTTGTCGCGGCTGCCACTGAGAGGGGGAGGTGTGTCAAAATTATAATATATCCTGCTTGCTGTAGTTACTGTAGTCATTATGATAAACGGTGGGTGGTGCACCTTCCCTTGCTTGTTTGTTCTCTATTTGTACCTTTTGCTCAATAGTGAAACCCCTATTTTGGCTTCTCTCTCGTCATGATGCTTGCTCCTAAGCCTAAACCTAGTTCCGAGGTACTTAGTATCTTAATAAGGTGGTTGTGATCCTCCTCCCCTCCCTCCTCTCTCTCTTTTTCATTCCACTGTGTTACGATATGATATTTAATGAGAAGGCATTCCTGTACACTGCAGGAGCCGACTCCACCGGATACGAAGTCGAGGAGTCAGAGGAGTCGAAGCAACACCAGCAAACATTAGATAAAGACCGATGCAGGTAGAAACATTTGAAATGAAAATATCGGGAACAAGTATGAAACGGGTTCCTGCACCGCACGATTTGAACTTCGCTGTAATATGGGAATGTACTCTTTAGAGTACATGGCTAGTCTACGTCTTTTCGTATTCCCTATATTTGCTATATAAACCGAATGTATGCATGTCATTACCGAATGCAGGTCTTCCGCTACAATATCACCTACGATCAACCATGAGCCAATCCCTGGCTAAATCCTATTTAGGATTGTAACACACTTTGCTCTTCATCCTCCTTACTTCCTCCTCTCATCCCTCTTCTCCTCCAGCTGCTGAGTGTTTGCCGCCGCTTGACCTGCCGCCGTTGCACCTACTCGTACCTGCTGCAGAGAGTCACTCGACAAATGTAGTGAACTAGACTATAGGGGGGGGGGGGGGGGGGGGTAGGTACGAACTACTAAGAGTGATCGTAGCTTTGCTTGCGCTCCTTAACACTTCCGCATTCATGGGACAAGCTGGCAAGAGTTTGACCAGCAAAGTTGAAATTACAGAAAATTGATTCAGTTCACAATGACAAGAATGACTACATCAGGCACCTAGCAACCCTGTAGCTAGCCTGGTCGACCGCCAGCACAGCTTCGACCGCCTGCCAGCATTGCGTAGAGGAGCTGCGCCAGCACTACGAAAAACACGACCTGCCAACAGAGCAGGTCGACGGCGTGCCAACGCTGCAGCAAACCGGCTGTCCCGTGTTGCCCCGTAGAACACAGCAGTGCGCACGCTCGCAGGTGCGCGCAGACGATTGGCCCGACTTGCCTCGTTGGGCATCCGTCGGCTGTTGTCTGCGCCTGACGAGCCACATCGACTTCAGGATACCAGCTCGCAGTCGCCTTCGCCATAACGACCTCGACAACGTTCGCGTGCCTTCGCAGAACTCGTCGAGCAGGTTACCCGGTCGACCTGGACACCACCAGATGCTCTGGTCGACCACCAGGGGCCCACGGTTGACCACAGCTCCCGTCGAGCTACCCCCAGGTCAACGGACCCCTTACATTGACCAGAACCATCAGCGGTTGTCGCCAAGCTCCCCTCGTCGACCGATACTCACTTGTCAGGTCGACGGACTGCTCTGTCGACCTCCCAGTTGAACTGCAGGTTGACGGACTGCTCCGTCGATCTCTCGGTCGAGCTGCAGGTCGACGGACTGCTCCTTCGACCTCCAGGTCGAGCTGCAGGTCGACGGATTGCTCCATCGACCTCCCGGTCGAACTGCCCCTCCTGGTCGACGGCCCACCCGTCGCCCATACCAGTCAATTGTAGCTGTCGAGCTCCCTAGCCAACAGCAACACCACAGTGGTCCCCTGCAGCTCGACGAAGCATGTACAGCAACTCTCACACTGTGAATGGTCGGCTGCTACTCTCGTAATTCGGACCAAGTCATCGGCGTTGCCCAAGCGAGGGCGGGGCCAATACTTCACTCCCGTTAACACTCCCCTGCCGCGCTCACGCTTGGGCCTCTAGCCCACATGTCAGTACTCCACGGAGAAAACTCGTCCTCGGCGTGCACCCCACACATAGCACGTCGTCACCGCACCGGCCGTGCGGAAGGGCACGGCACCTACTGTTGCACCTCGTCGTCATCGTCGCCGACGTCGACTAGACGAACTTGGCCGATGGCGACAGAGCACCGGTTGAAAGCCGGAAAATGCCGCGCCTTCGTCAGGAAGTCAGCCAGCTGCTCGATGGTTGGGATGTACTTCAGCACGAACTTCCCGCGCCTCACCATGTGCTGCAGCCAGGCATAGCGTCTCTCCATGTGCTTTTGGTTGCTCGTCAGCCCCAAGCCCTCAGCGACCGTAATTGCCAACTTGTTGTCGACGCGGAGGATGGTCGGCTTCCCAGCGTCGAGCATCTCGATTTCCGCAAGAAGGAAACAAAGTCAGCGTCCCTTCGTGCCTGCATCCGTGGCCGCCACGTACTCCGACTCGGTCGACGACAATGTTGCGCACTTGATGCGCGAGCTCGACCAGGAGACGGCGGCCCCTCCGTAGACGAACACGTAGCCTCTCGTGCTCGTCCAGTTCTGCTTGTCGCCCACGTCGTCGGGATCCACGTTGCCGATCAGCTTCAGCGACTCTAGTCCACCATCGAACTCCAGGGCGGTGTCGACTGTGTCAGCAAGGTAGACGAGGCAGCGGTTGACCTCGCGCCAATGCTGGTCGCTCCTCACCGTGAGGCCGCTCCCCAGCTTGCTGCGGGCGAACGCGATGTCGAGCCTCGTCGTCGTCGCCGCGAACTGCAACGAGCCGACCTTCTGCCGGTACTCCTCCTCCTCGCGCTCCTAGGCCTCCTCGTCGTTGAACGCCAGCTCAGCGTAGGCGTTGACCGAGACCGGCGTCTTCGGGACTCGACCGCCCTGCTCCTCATCGACGAAGCGCCTGCGCAGCTTGTCGGCATAGCCCTGCTGGTGCAGCCACAGCTTCCTGGCCGGCCTGTCGCGCACGATCTCCAGCCCAAGGTACTTCACCACTGCCGAGATCTCACGCAACTCGAAGGCGGCCTCCAGCAGCTCCTTCAGCTCCTTCAGCATCTCGGTGCTACTGCTGGCGGCAAGCAGGTCGTCGACGTTGACCAATACCCAGCAGGTCACTCCGTCGTTGCCGGCCTTGAAGTAGAGCGCTTCGTCGACCTGGCTCTTCTTCCAGCCAGCCCCGAGCAGCACACCGTCGAGAGCCTTGTACCACAGCAGCGGCGACTGCTTCAGCCCGTAGAGGCTCTTCAGCAGCTTGCACACCCGGCCTGTCCCATCGTCGAAGCAGTCCGGCTAGTACATACAGAGCACCCTGTCGAGCTTGCTCTGCAAGAAAGCGTTCTTCATGTCGAGCTGCATCAGGTTGAGGTCGAGAACGGCGACGATGCTGGAGAAGATCCTCAGCGTGACGTAGCTGCTCACGGGCAAGTACGTCTCGTCGTAGTCGGCGCCATACATCTGCGTGAAGCCCTTCACGACCAGCCTCGCCTTCTCGCGCTCGATGGTGTCGTCGATGCGGTACTTGGTCGTTAACACCCACCGATTCATCATGATGTTCACCCCGCATGGGCGTTCGACCAGCTCCCAAGTGCCCATGCCGATGAGGCTGCGGATCTCTTCTTTCATGGCGGCATTCACCGCCTCGCCCTTCCAGCTCCCCAGCGCCTCCTTCACTGTCATCGTGGCGATGTCCCAGCGGTGTTCGGGGTCGACATGCACGTCGGCGTTGAGCTCCGGCAGTTTCCATCCTCCTCGGCGTCGTCGCACAACAGGTCATTGTCGACCTTGTCGTACACCGTGGTGAAGGCAGCTGGCGGTAGGCAGGCGTGGAAGCTCAGCCACTCCGGCGGTCGAAAAGCTCGACTGTGCGTCGCAGCTCAGGCTTCGTGATCGACACCTCCACCACGTTGCTGTCGGTGGACTCCTCACCCGCCGACTGCTCCACGTCCTCGTCGACATCATCCTCGTCGATTAGCAGCTTCAACCCTTCAACTGGCTGCTCGCCTGCTGCTGGCTTTCACAGCTCCCCTGTCGACCGCCCCGACTGCTGCTCCCCTGTCGACTGCACCCCTACTGTTGCCTCTTGTTCGACCGGCTCCCCTGTCTGGTGCTCCCCTGTCGTCGATGGCTTCCGGCCCTGGTAGACGAGCTTGGCGCCTTGTCGACCGCCGGCGATGCCACTGGCCGTCGCTACAGACGATGCCACAAGGCTCCCCTCAGCGTCGGCGACCGACACAGGAGTCGACGCAGACCGATCTGCGACGGGGGAGGGAGGAGCAAGAAGAGGGGGAGGTGGAAGAACCTCCAAAATATCCTCATCAGCAGGCTCGTCGACTTCGGCGAGCAGTGGAACCGTCGCCGTCGAGGCGTCCATCGGCGGGTGTGCCTGTGTCTGCCCCGACGCCGGCCCATACTTCGCCTTCCACACCTCCAGCGACAGTGTCTCGTAGAAGATCACCTCGACCGATGTGAATACGTTGTTGTCGGTCAGGTCGAGCACCTCCCAGCCCTTGCTCTCCGGCGACACACCCAGGTCAAGCCCCCAGCGAGCTTTCAGCGCCAGCTTCCTACAGCGCTGTTGCTCGGGAACCATGAACTGCACCATGCAGCCCCACGCCCGCGCCAGTGTGAGGTCGGGCTTCTTCCCAGTCAGCAGCTGGTACGGCGTCGTCCTCGGTGGCGTCGTCGACCGCTCCAAGCAGTTGCGCACCCAGACAGCTTGTCGAAGAGCGAAGTGCCACCAGTGCTGCTGCACGCCCATGTGCAGCAGCATTGTCCGCACGTACTTGACGACCGTGCGCATCTCCCGCTCAGCCATGCCGTTCTGCTGCATAGTGTAGGGGCACGTCAGGTCGTGGACGCTGCCCTTCCCGTCAACGAAGTTGGTGAAATTCTTTTCGAGAAACTCCCCTCCCCAGTTAGAGCGAAGCGACAGGACCGATTTTTTCGTCTGCCGTTCCACCAGCACCAGCCACTTCTGGAACTCCCGCAGCACGCGCTCTTCTTAGCGACCGGCATTGCCCACACGAACTGAGTATGGCGAGCCTTCAGCAGCAGGAAGTAGAAGCTGCCATCCTTGGCAGCCACTCGAAATGGCCCGCACAAGTCAATGTGCACGACAGCCAGTGCCTCCTTGGCGTCCGAGCCCTTGTCGGGGAAGGTGTGCCGCGCCAGCTTTCATCCGACGCACGAAACACACGGCGGGTCTACTCCAGTCGACGGCGTGATGTCGAGCCCAGTAGCAACGTTATGCTTCGCCGAGCTCTTGATCGTGTTGACGCCGACGTGCGCGAGCCTCGCATGCAACCGGTTAGGGGCCGACGCTGTCGCTGAGACGATTGTCCGCAGAGCCACCACTTCGGTCGACGGCGACCGCGTCAAGCAGGGGCAAAGGTTGGTGCAGAGGACTCGTCCGGTGTAGTGTGCTCGACCAAGCACCTCCCCTGTCGAGGCAACGAGCGGCATCTCGTCGCTGTCGCCCTGCAGCTGCACTCCGCTCTCCTTCAGTTGGCCAGCTGACAGCAAGTTCGTCTGTACGCCCAAAACGTAGAGCACGTCGGGGATGAGGACCTGCTTCCCGGCCTCCCCTTGTAGAGCGACGGTTTCGCGACCCCCGAGAGGCTGCAGCGCCCCATTGAATCCACTGCTGCTGCTGCTGCTGCTGCTGCTGTTGCTGCTGCTGCCGCCACTGCTGAAGCCGCAGCCGCCGCCGCCGCTGCTGATGCCACCGCTGCCGATGTTGCTGCGGTGGGATCTTCATCTGCTGCTGCTGCTGTGTTTCATTTTCCGGTTGTTGTTGCCTTTCGTTTTGCTGCTGCTGGCGAGTGTGATGATTAAAGTTTTGATAACAATATGTCAGCGATTGGAGCGGTTGCTGCTGTTGTAGCTGCTGCAGTTGCTGCTGCTGCTGCTGCTGCTGCTGCTGCTGCTGCTGTATCCCCAATTCAGGGAGTTCTTGCTGGAATTGAGTACAGGGGAGCACTGTTTCCATCGATGTCCCCGCATAAAACAACAGCTGATTGTTTCTAGAAAATGAGGAACTCGTGCTTCTGGTGGCAGTATTAGCAAGCGTTGCTGCTGCTGCTGCTGCTGCTGCTGTTTGTGAATCTATGGCAGAGGGAAATGTGCAAGACGATGGCCCTAGCACGTCCAGATGGTTAGACCCAAGGGGCCAGGATGGGGGAGGAGGAGGAAGAGGCAATACATTCAAAGAGCGACAGTCTCTTGAAGTCGATGCAGAGACATGAGGAGATGGAATGGACGTGGAGAGGGAAGCGGTGGAGGCCGGCAAGGGAAGTGGGCAGTTCTGCACCGAGGACGAGATCAGGTTTGATTCGGGGGCATGATGAAGCGGCGGGACAAAAGGATGGCGTGAAGGGAAGGGCCCAGGGTCAAACTGGCTCAAATGAGGTGAATCCTGCTGACACCGAATCACGGATGCAGAGGCACCCGCATCTGCTTCAGAGTTGAAGTTACTGATGGAGAGAACCTGTTGTTGCTGTGGAAAAAGCTGCTGCTGCTGCTGCTGCTGCTGCTGCTTCTGCTGCTGCTGCTGCTGTTGCTGCTGCTTCTGCTGCTGCTGCTGCTGTTGCTGCTGCTTCTGCCAGGTGTACTCTGTCTGTGAGAGCTCGTTTTCTGCCTGTCTGCTTCCTCCACTGCCCATTTGTACTATGCGAGCGTCCATGCCAACAACACCCTCCATTATTCTCCCACTGCTTGCACCTGTAACATCATACATGGATGCTGGAGTTGAATGTCCTGATCCTCCTATTACAACTTCAGAAGGATCCAGCATGATACAGGTTCCTACCTCAGAAACATTATCATGATGTTGATCATCAGCAACAGCATTCATTGGAAAAGCCCTTACTATGCACTGCTCTGGTAACACCACAGGCAGTGCTCTCTCTACCATCGCTCCATGATCTTTGTCCTCAGCATCATTCTCCTCTTCGTTCAGGATATCAACACCCACTGGCACAGCTGCTTCACCCCCTCCTCCTTCCCCTCCTAGACCCCTCCACGCTCCAGGTATGCCAGATGCCATCCCCTCACTCCCCGCAACTTCTCCTTCTGCTGCTCCTGTCTCTCCGCTCCGCAGGGGGGGTCCATCAATAGAGGAAGAAGCAGCAGCAGCAGAGGTAAACCCATGCAAGAAGGAGGGGCTTTTAGCGAGGCTTTCAATGGTGTCACCGCCGCCGTTCCATTGACAACAGGGCGCACCATTGGCGATGGTATTAGTAGTAGCCATAGGTCCAAACATAGACTTGAAGTCACTCAGTGATAGGCTACTGAGAAACTTAGAACGAGAATGAGTGAACTAAGGAATGAACGTGATACAAATATGAAACCCTAGAATTGTGTACCCATTAGTATCTAACCCGCTACAGCCTACACAGGCTAGATCATATAAGTTTGACACACCCCCATAGGCAAAGTGGGGGAGAACAAGGGGTCACAAGACCAGTCAAGCAAAGCAAGGCAAAGCAAGGCAAAGCAAGCTCAGGGTGGATCACAACGTCACCACACATTCCGAGCACAAGTTCAAGGCCACAAGGCCAGTTCACATACATGAGTACACGCATATATATAACGCTAAACAAGCAAGAGCAGGTATATATATATGTAACAGTACAAGCAAGGTCAAGAAGTGAGCAAGTGAGGCAAGGTAGGTACAAGACCTAACAGAGTACAGAAGCGCTGATGGTCACAAGGCGCAAGTGCCTTGGTGAAGATATCAGCAGTGTTGGCCTCAGAGGCCACGTAAGCAAGACGCAGCTGACCGCGCTGCTGCAGCTCACGAGCAAGGAAGTAGCGAAGAGCGATGTGCTTCGTTCTGTGCTCCAGTCTGTGCTCCCGACACAAGGCCAGCATAGCCTTGTTGTCTACGTACAGAACTGGAGGAGAACGAGGCGGCTCTCCTAGGTCAGTCAGCAGGTAGGTGAGCCAGCGTAGCTCCTGTGCAGCCATGGCCCCTGCGTAGATCTCAGCCTCACAACTGGAGTCGAGAACAGAAGACGAGCGGGTAGCCGCCACGAAACAGAGCCGGAGCCAAGGCTGAAGGTGTAACCCTGTGACGACCGCTGCGTAGCCTGGTCGTCAGCCCAAGAAGCGTCTGCGTGACCAGTGAGGACCACTGGACTCCGCCCTCCAAGCACAAGCCCCATGCCCGACGTACTGCACAAGTAGCGCAACACCCTCTTCGCTGCAGCCATGTGCTCAGGGAGGTGTCTCCCAGGAGCAACATAGCGTGCCAGAATGCTAAGAGGGTATGCAAGGTCAGGTCGAGTGCAGGTCATCAGGTACATGAGACAGCCAACAAGCTCTGGGTACGGGCCACTCGACTCTACGGACTCATCCGAAGGCAGAGCTGAGAGCGAGTGGCGAGTAGACAGAGGAGTGGCCTGAGGCGAGGAGTACGTGAAGCCGAAGCGCTGAAGGACCTGCTGCACCATGTGTGACTGAGTCAGGGTAATGGTGCACTGTGCTCTGTCCCGGGTGATCTGCAAGCCAAGGTAGCTGCGCAGTTCACCCAGGTCTGTGCACGTGTGTCTCTTCTGCAGCTCGGACTTCACGTGGGCGAGTCCAGCAGTGTCAGCTGTGGCAAAGACCAAATCGTCGACGTACACGAGGATGTAGAACGGCGGCAAAGAAGTGTCGGTGCGCAGAAATAGCGACGGGTCGGCAGTAGAAGGAGCAAAGCCAAGAGCCGCAAGTGTAGTCCTCAGTGTGTCGTGCCACTCACGAGGTGCCTGGCGGAGACCGTAGACTGGCCGCCGGAGGCTCCACTGGGTACCAGGAGGAAAAGACCCCGTGAAGCCAGGTGGGCGGCGCAGCCAGATCTCCTCGTGCAGGCTGCCCTGCAAGAAAGCAGTGCTGAAGTCAAGAGAGTGAAGCTCGTAGTCACGGTGAGCGGCTATGTGCAGCAGTACCCGAAGAGTGGTCATCTTTGGGGTGGGAGAGAAGGTCTGAAAGTAGTCAATTCCCTGCCACTGACTGAAGCCACGAGCCACGTAGCGCGCCTTGAAGACAGGCGGAGAACCCGGCGGCCGCTTCACCCTGAAAATCCACATGCCACTGACGATGTTCGCCCCAGGAGGGGGAACCTCGTCGACGTAGGTGCCTGTGGACTTCCAGGAAGCCATCTCTGCATCCATGGCTGCCTGCCACTGAGAGGAGTAGGGACCCTCTATCGCCTCCGCGTAAGAGCGCGGAGTCGGGATGTCTGGTGCATCCGGGTCTCCCTCAGGGGCAAGCAGCATGGACACGAGATGAGGTGAAGCAGCAGCAAAGGACTGGAACTCCTCCTGCCTGTCCTCAAGGACGTCCGTGCCAAGGGCACACTCACCCCCGACAGACGGAGGACAGACAGACTCAGACTCAGCGACAAGACTAGCAGCGTAGTCTAGGTGACAGCGAGCAGCGAAGTCGACAAGCTCAGAAACTAAGGCAGACGCGGCAGCGGACTCAAAGGAAGGGTCAGTGACGACAGTAGCAAGGAGACGCGTGACAGTAGGACTGGCAGCACGAAGGGAGTCCGACTCCGGGTCGGCAAGAACAGGAAGAGAGGACTCAGGAGGAGAAGGCAAAGGGGCACGCAGCGGAGCAGTGGAGGGACGCAGAGACATCCGGTGCGTGCCGGGGACAGGGGGAGGACGCTGACGCGAACCACGACCACTAGTGCGAGCAGCACGGACAGGCGACGCAGGACGAGACGCAGGCTCACGACGCTCAGCAAGACCTCCAGTAGGACCAGTGTAGGGAGAAGGAGCAGGCAGAGGAGAGGTAGGCTGTAACTGTGACTCGGACTGGACAGGCGGTGGACACTCTAAGGGAGGAGCCGGACTAGCAGAGGGCGGAAGACCAAGAACCTGCTCAAGGAGCGGAACGAAGTACGGCTGCGGCCGCTCAGCACCACCAGCAGCAGAAGGGACAGCACCAGCACCCCGAACGACAGCACCAGCGCCAGCAGCACCCCCAGCTCCAGCAGTGCCAACTCCAGTACCCTCAGAGGCACCAGCACCAGAGGCACCCTCAGCACCAACACCCCCAGCAGCTCCAGCTCCAGCCGGACCACCAGAAGACGCAGCGGGACCAGCTCCAGCACCCTCAGTAGCACCGACGCCCGCAGCACCACCAGCTCCAGTACGAGAAGCACCCGCAAGCCCAGCAGCTCCAGTACTCCCAGTACGAGCACCTCCGGGACCCGCGGCACCAGCACCCTCAGCAGCAGCAGAACCTCCAGCACCCGCAGCACCCCCAGCTCCAGCAGCTCGCCTCCAGCGCCGGGCAAACCACTCACGCAGCTCCTGTGGAGAGAGGAGCTCCCGCCGGGACGAAGCACCCGAAGAACCTCCAGGCCCAGCACCGCCAGACGCCACACGAGTAGGTCCAGGACCCTCAGACTCCGCACCCCCAGACGCAGCACCCCCAGGCTCAGCACCCCCAGACGCAGCACCCCCAGGCGTAGCACCCCCAGGCTCAGCACCCCCAGAGTCAGCACCCCCAGGCTCAGCACCCCCAGAGTCAGCACCCCCATACCCAGCACCCGCAGGCTCAGCACCCCTAGCAGCACCAGAGTCAACAGCTACCTCGACAGGGTCGACTGCGTCTACCTGAGACACACCTGAGGGGGCAGGACCCTGAGGGGGGAGGGGGTCTACCGGAGGGGGACCTGGCGTAAGGAAGAGCGGCGGGGGGGGGAGGGACGCAGTGCGGTAGGGGAAGAGACGGTAGTAGGGAACCGACTCGTCAAACGTGACGTCCTGGGAAGACAGAACACGGCGCGAGGTGGGGTGGTAGAACTGCCAGCCCGGCGCGTCAGGGGGGAAGCCAAGGAAGACGCAGGGAACAGCACGAGGGGACAGCTTGTCCGCAGACAAGTCGCGGACAAACGCCCGAGATCCCCAGACACGGAACGCAGACGCATCGCCAACCTTCCCCGTCCACAGCAAAGCAGGGGAGGTCTCCGGCATGGAGACCCGGGGCTGAAGGTTGATCTGATGCGCCGCGTACCGAACCGCAAACGGCCACAGAAAATGGGGGGCAGCCGCATGGACCATGGACGTACGAGCGACGTCCATGACCATGCCAATGCGGCGCTCAGCAATCCCATTTTGCTGCGGAGAGTCCGGAAGCGTGAAGGTCTGGCGGATGCCTCGTGCACGACAGAAGGCTCGCAGAAGGTCAGAGGAGAACTCTCCGCCTCTGTCAGAGTGCAGACGCAGAACAGGAAAGTCCGAGCCGAAACTCTCTCTGAGCTGGAGACGAGCCGCGCGGATCCAGGCGATCAACACCTCAGTGACCTCACCCTTGCTGCGCAAGGGGAAGACTGTGGTGTAACGCGAGTAGTCGTCAACCACCAGCAGGAAGTAACGCTCGTGACCCTGTCCACGGACGCGGGCTGGGCCCCACACGTCCATGTGAAGCGTCTGCAGCGGAGCCTCTGTAGGAGGAAACACGGAGGAGTGAGGAGCAGCGCGCTGCCGCCCCTCGACGCAGGGAACGCAGGTGGGGGCAGGACCCGGAGGAAGGGGAGGGAGGGACCGGGGGAGACCAGAGACAAGGACACGGGAGGCCATGCCTCGAAGACGAGACAGGGAGGGGTGACCAAGGCGGTGGTGCCAGAGGAGAGTCTGGTGAGACAAGAGACGACACGAGCAGGGGGCAGACTCAGGACCAGACCTGGACGCCGCAGCAAGCACCTGACCCGAAGCGGCTACCTGAGCAGACTCAGCGACCGGAGGAGACTCAGTAGTCAGTGTGTATAGGCTCGACCCCGGCTGACGGGTAAACGTGGCCAAGTGACGGCCCGTCCGAGCACAGGTACAGTGGGTCACTCGCTGACTCGCAGGAGTGAACTGGTGAACCCCTCCATCCTGGAGGTCAGCACCACTCACCAAGTTTGTAGAGAACGAGGGGAGGTAAAGACCCGACAGGGTGCCAGAAGGGGCCGCCGGACACGGTAGAACAGTGGAGAAGTGGGCAAGGACAGGACCCCCAGAGGGGTCTGCCAGGGAGACTGACACTGGCCGACTAAGCGGCGTAAGCGTGGTGCGGTCTCGAAAAAAGGAGCGGGAAGCACCCGAGTCAAGGGTGAAGGTGTGGGTGGCCGGTGCCGACGCGGTACCTGAGAGCGCAGACTCACCAGCACCTGGGGCAGCAGGCTCACTGGCACCTAGAGCAGCAGCCTCACCATCACCTAGAGCAGCAGCCTCAATGCCCGGGTCAGGCGGAAAACACCGGTAACAGTCACCCTCATCA